CAAAGCTTTAAAAGTAGTATTATATTCCTCTTCCCACTTTTAATTAATTATTTTCTTTATAAATTTATATAATAGTTTCCCTATATAAGAGAAACCGGCAATAAACCTTCTATAAAAATTTATAAATTCTAAGAAATGCTATAATTAGCGTTTATTCGTTAGTACTTTCTAATAAGTAACAGCTTTTACCTTCTCGGGGTCTATTTCGATACCTCTTAGAATAATAATTAAACCCAAGTATTTAATTCTTTGTATATAGAATTCGTATTTATTAATATCGATCTAGAACCCTACATCGATCAAACGCTAGAACACTTCCCACATATATTTAATATATTCTTTATAAGTCTCTAAGAAGATAAGTATATTATTAAAGTAAGCGGTTATATAAATATTAAGGATATTGTACAATATATTATTAATAAAGTTTTAGAAAGAGGCCGGCGCTCCTAATAATCCGAATAAGTATACTAATAATTCGTAGAGGCCAAACCTTATAATAAATACCGTTAACCATTCGTATCCCTCTACTATACATAATTAGTTAAAGGCCGTAATAATATTAACCTTTATAAACTACCTTATTCTATAAATAATATTAAATGTTTCTTTAATTAATAATAATAAGTACCTATTTTTTAGAAAAATATTATTAATACCTCTATAATTAATATAAATTCTTATACTACCGTCTAACTTTCTTATTAATAATATAAAAGAAGCGATATCCGAAGTCGAAGGCTAAATAAATCCCTTTACTAAATTATTATCTAATTACTATTTAATGATTTTTAATTCCTAAAGAGATATAGGTCTCGCTCTAGAGTAGGGTAGTAATTCTATCCCGGGTTTCAATTCGATTTTATAATTATATAAATAATATTTTAAAATTACTTTAGTATTTATAGGATTTGTAATATAGGATAAATCCTTATACTTGTTTAGGAAACGGGCTTTTACTTATTCTACTATATATTTTAATTTAATTAATTTCTTTATAAACTTCTAAACATTTTCCTCCATAATATTATAAATTCTATTAATTTCGGTTAATAGTATAAGTTTCCTATTTTTAGGGGGAGGTAGCGTTTCTTCTATTCCTAATCTACAAATATAATTAACGAAATCCCTAGCCTCCTTTCCTAATTAGAAGGACTATTCGCTAGTATTTTCTCCTGTAACTTCTTTCTTATAAAGGTCAATAAAATTGTATACCCTAATATCTTTAAAGTATTATTTATAAGGTTCTCCCTTACTTTATAGAATATCCTTCCAAGCTCTCTCCGACAAAGTTGGTATTAAAACGGGCTCCTTCTTCTCCTTTTGAATTTCCTAAAGTTCTACCTATATAATAAAATTTACCTAAATCCCCCGTAACTTTATATTAAGCATAAAGGTTCTTATATTAACGATTTTAAAGTCCGATAAATCTAATACCACTATGTAAATTATAAGTTTAAAAGGTTTGAATATAGTACGTTTAACTCTTTCTAATCGAAATATAGTCCAGACCCTCTATCTATTAACGATTTTAATTCGCATCCTTATATTCTTTAACGCTAACTTCCTTTCTAATTTAAATAATTCTTCGAATTTATTTACGTAGTTTAATAGTAATAGGGCTTCTAATATTACAATTTAGTTTCCCTTGGGGGTTTTTATAACGTTAATTACCCAATTAAAAAAATCCTCGTCTTCCTTATCTTCCTCTAATCCCCCCTTAAATTTATTTTCAGAATTATAATATTCGGAATTATAATACTTGTCTTTGGGTTCTTCTATCCCTTAAATATCCTTTAGAAATACTATTACCTATAAAGGTTAATTAATATATATTCTTATATATCCAACGTTCTAAATAACTTTATTAATTACTTAGTTAATATTTAGGTTATAGAATTATAATTATAGCTATCCTAAAATAATCGGGTAATCTACTACTAGGTTAATTATAAAGAAGTAAATAATTTTTTTATAATTATTAATATATATAGTGGCTTTAATATATTAATCTACTTATTCTTTAAAAATATTATCTATTAAATACAATAATTTTAATTTTTCTAATATTTTAAGTTCTAAATACGCCTTCTCTACGAATAAATAATCTATAAAGGCTTTACTTAAATATCTAGAATTAACTAGTAATATATATTCCTCTTTACTACTACGCTAGGGATATTAAATATACGTAGAAAGGAGGGTTGTATTCTATTTATAGAATTCTAAACTATTTAATTTAAGTAGCTTTATCCTCTAATAGCTAATAATATAAATATTAAATTTATTCGTCCTTACCCTTCCTTTTTATATTCCTAAATACCCCGGGGTATAATTTAACCCTAAGGTTCTTTATTTCCCTATTAAATAAGAGCTGCGGTTATAATAGCTACTGGGGCCTAGGCTAAAATTACTAAAACTACTAGTACTAAGTTAATTATATTTATTATAGTACGGTTAGTAATTAGTACGTTAGCGCTAGTTCTTTAGCGCGTAATAATATTTAAACCTAAATAATTAAATTATTTACTTTAAGTGCTATAATTAATATTACTTTTATAATCCTTAGTTAAGTACTATCCTTTATTATAATTCATATAATTACCCTTATTATAGCGCTTTTAAAGGACGTCTTTATAAATTTCTATAAATTTCGTATAATCGATATCTATAGCGTTAGGATCTCTTTATCTATTATTATTACTATAATTACCGCTATATCTACTACTATTACTATTATTACTATTACTACTATTATTTATAGTAATTTAAATAGTATTATTATACAGTAACGCCCTAATATATACTTTAATAATACTATAGAAAAGGGTTAACTATCCTTTCTAATTATTATATTCTAATTAGACAAAATAATATAAGACTAAATTAGCTAATAATTTAGATACTTTTTAGTACAGCAAATAAACTTTAATAACCGTATTATAATTATAATAATCTATTAAAGAAACGAATCTAGTTTCGAAATTTTCGTAGTTCGAATACTTCCTAATTTACTTAAAATTTAACAACTCCTTCTCTACAATAGCTACTAAATTTCCCTATTTATATTATTTATTTAAATATATTAAAAATTCCTCACCCGTCTACTATTTCTAATAGATTAAATAGTACGGATTATTTAGGATAAATTAATAATACTTATTAATATTAATTTTAACCTCGCCGCTAAGGTAGGCTATAGTATAAAGAAATTTAGATAATTTATTGGGGAATTCGTGTTTATCTATTAATTAACAATTATAAATAATTGAATTCTAAGCACTATAAATATTATAGCGTTTAATTATATCCACCTCCTTACTATTAAAATACTTAAAATCCTTATAAAGTACTTTACAATAATAATTGCCTAAAGGAATAGGTTGGAAGATACTACTAGGACCTCTACTATTAGGGCCTCCTCTACTAAGAAATCCTCTACCTCCAAGTCCGTTACCTATACCCAAAAAACTTATACCCGATCCTCTAAAGCTACTATCGCTAAAACCGCCGCCTATACTACCGGAACTAAAGTTAATTCCCTTACCCGATCCTCTAGGGCTATTATCGTTAAAACTACCACTTACATTACCTATATTATACGGAACTTCTTCTATATTATTTTTAATTATAATTTAAAACCTAATTATACTCTTTACTTTAACCTCCTTTAAATTATTCTCGGTCATAAAAATAATTTCTTTTGCGAAATAAAAGTCTTTTCAGAGGGTATCGTTCTCCTTTTATATTTTAATTAATTTTTCCTATACGATTTTTATTATAATACGGACGTTATTATACTCTTTTCTAGCTTCGTTAAATATAGTATTAATTATATTTAATAAATTGAAAATAATTTAATAATCGGTTTCCTTACCCTCGATAATCTTAATTATATTATTTTCGTAAACTACCTTCTCCCTCTCAATTATAGCCAATTTATACTTTAAAGAGGTATTATCCTTAAAGACCTAATTATACTAGTTTTAAAAAACCTTTAGTTAATCTACAAATTATTTCTTAATATTCTTGAATTTATTAATACGGTTATTAATAACTCCTATTTCTTAATTAATCTTCTTAATATAAACTTCGGCGTTATACGTATAATCTCTAAACTTTTCCTACTCAGCCGTAATATTCTTATCGAATAATTTAATCTTTTTATTAAAATAGTATAAAAGCTTTATAACTTCCTTATATCCCCTAACTTACTCTGTAAAATTAGGTAAAACCCGAAGGCTAATATTAGAATTATTACTATAAACTATAAGTAATATATTAAATCCTTTAAGTAAGGAAGGGAATACTATAGCAAGGTCGATTTAACCGCCCTAATCTTAGTTACTAAATATTTTATTTATATAATAACTAAATTAATAATTTATTAATAATTAAAGTAGAAAAAGAAATATTCTTTACTATATTGTGCAATATAATAAATATACCCTTATTATTTTAAATACTTATTTATTATTCTAGGCTAACAATATCGCTATTACTAAAATCTCCGACTTACTATTAATAATTATACAATTCGCTAAAAAGTAAATTTCGTAAGAACTACTTTATTATATTAGCCTCTACTAAACTTAATTTAACCAAAATCACTTATTACGTTTTAATGTGAAGGTTAGGTATAATAAAGTGTTATAGGGCGCGAGTAAATACTAAGGTAAGACTTTGATTGTTGTGCGAGGAACAGGAAGAGAATCCTGTGCGCGCACGAGAACTATGTAGGGCATACGTACGTAGGTCCGGTACACGGACCACAGCGCACGTATGCACGTGACTGCTGTACTACACTCAGGCAGCTACACAGCTGACTGCACTATATAGTACAGCACCCTCTATCTATATATAGGAATATAGCAGTAATGCTTGTGATACAAACTATAAAATTCCCTAATTATATATGTAATATCCCTTATTAAAGGCGGCTTCCTATTACTATCGCTAAATCTTAAAGAATAATATCGATAGTACGCATTAATATACTATTAGGCGGTAGCCACACCGGCGTAGGGGACGAGGGAATAATCTATAAATATTAGCACTAGTAAATTAACTAGCGATTTAATTAATTTATAGATATATAAAAGTTTTATTAATTTATAGCTTTACGAGGCAATGCGACGAAAAATAGTAATTGAGTATACTATTATTAGCGTTGTTATTATACGAAATTCACAATATAAATAAGCGATTTTACAGGGCGTTAATAGGCAAATCTGCATGGGTCATTTCGGGCACTGTCCTAGATTAAAATGCTGTCCCAAATTTTCCGCGCCCCCTCTTTAGAGGGTAAAAAGAGGGGGGAAAGGAAGCCTTGGCGCCCAGAACCCCCCAAGTACACCTTCTGCCAATGACGGACCATCGACCTGTGCCAAGACACTCTCTGCTTGATATGCGGCCGATGTCCGCACATCGTGGGACAAGCGTCCAGAGAGGTTGTCACGGTAGCAGCGCTCATGGTGCTGCTCAAACAGAGGCGGCAAACCCGGAACACGGCTGAGCACGACGTCGTCAGTCGTTGACTGGGGTCCCACCAGAACACATATCATGTATGTGGTGGGGTTGTAGGGTCGAATTGGATGTCGTGTGGTCAATATGTATTCGCATTCTTCAATAGGACCTGGAAGTTAAGTGAAGATGATGGAAGCGAACGAGTTAGGGGTTGTGGGTTGTTGCTCTCTGGAGGAGACGACGTCGCTTGTGGTTAGGTACAGAGGGTGCAGTCGTGGGAATGGAGATGAATGCAAATGAAAAGAGGCGTGGTTGCAAACTGCAAACTACAAGTCACATAAAACCGGATGTGCTTTTGTGTACAATATAATATCTTGGTAGCTGGTCATCTCGCACTTGCTGTACGATTATTGTGGGTTTAACTGTAGCGCTAGCAATATCTCGTTGCGCAGACGCCGCTTCGAACGATCCAACATGTCTTTATTCCCAAACAAGCTGCAAGTCCGCGCCCAGTTGTAACATCAACCTCTCCTTTGGTTTGCTGATGGTCGACAATATGATTTCTCAGTTCAAACTCCTGTATTCTTTTATAACACAGGACTAGTTGGTTTGTTACTTTGGTTCTTCTGACGAGGTGGAACAAGGGGTAGAATAAGGCCAATCTCAGGATTTGCAATATTGGCCTCAGGAAGGGAACAATTCGTCCTCGTTCGTAGACTTTCGCCGATAACCAGGGCTCTCAACGCTATACTTGTAAAAGTCTCGCTCTTTCCCGCGTATGGGAACCGCTTATTACCGTTCCTAGTGTACTCACTCATAACGGAGATTCTTGGTGGATCATGCCAGGATTATGAGCCAATCCAGTTGGCGAGATGCTCTGCATACTATCGCAGTATGTACATAGCATGTAATGTAGCCAAGAGCGGGCTAAAAACACCCGCATAAGGTGTACATAGCATTATGGCCTTCCCTGAAAGAGCATCTCCGTTAGGAATGAATATGTAGTGGTGTACACGCGGTACTAGCCTCCGCTACCGGAGGGGACACTGTGCATGGCATCCATCCTGTACATCAAGGTACTAGAACTACATATGTGAGGTGTGTGATGCAATGGGTAGGTAGACAGGTACCTACGTAAAGCGATATGTCGTTTTCACTCTCCTGACCTGTGGCTTACCGCGCTGATGTGTTACCTGCCGACTTACCTCTAGCTCCGTCCCCATGGTAAACAAGTGGAATCCCGGGTTTTTCGTTCTCTACTTGGCGGTATGTTTAGATCCCTTCTGGCAATTTCAGCTAATGCCCTGGGGCAGATTGCGCGGATAAACCTGGTGTGACCCTTTTGAAGGATGTGGGGTATGTTCCGCGCTAACTACCTAACAAACCAGCATTGATGTGTACTGGACACGGCCGAGTTGCACAAGATTTGTGCGATGGCAACCTCTCGTTGTCACGTAACACAAAAGCATTGATCGAGTTTCAACACCAAGCTTCCTCAGACATGAAAGACATGGTACACTAGGCTTGTCCCGTTCCCCGCCACATAGCCTTTCGGCAACGTATGCAATGACACTGCTGAGACTTCTACCTACAGCTCACTTGTTACACTTTACCGCCTTGCTCTTTTGGGAAAGCATCTTTTTCCGTAGCCTACCTACGCGAGCCATCGACCAGTCAAGCCCGCAATGATGTTCATCGGGCTCTTCTCCGTTAGTATGGACTGCTCTGGTTAACGTTTTCTTATGCTACAGTAACATCCTGTCCTCTTGGCCAGCTGAGAGGTTGGCTGGCCATGCATGACTATGAAGGCCTAACCGAACGGCTTGCCGCAGTTATCACTCGTTGGCGCTGAATGAACAGGAACTTTGTGTCCAGTGGTGTTGTCTACAACCACGATGGCTTGCCGAAGAACACCGTTGTCTTGATCCGAAACGAAGTTGAAGAGGGTCTGGTACGGGTGAGAGATGCGGGTCTTACCATAGTATTGGATTCCCGGAGGACCCTTATCATCGATGTCAATGACAAACATCACCGAGGACGCTCCATTTTCGATTCGAGATAACGACGAGAAGGAAACAGCGGCAAACAACAAAAAGACAAAGAAAAGAAAAAAAAAAACATCCCAGACGCCGGGGGAGATCTGCAAGCAGCCCCATTCAACCGCCCGCACCCCGAGGTCACTGGTGATGCGACCAGGCAATTCTTCCCTGGCAGATATCCTGTCACGTCCGTGTGAAAGCGCAGTCAAGGCCAAGGCAGAAGTGGAGGGCAGAATATTGGCCAAAGAAACTAGTATTTGCATCCGGTCTGAGGACGCCTTGTGCTGCAGTGCCAGCAGCCGATTCTCCTCGGCTGCAACCTACCTGCAATATGCTGAGCTGTGTGTGCCCAAAGGATCGCACACGCCGTTGGCGATTTCGTCAACTTGCCGTTACCCTTTTTCGATATTTGAGATTATTTGCATAGTATCGTTATGGTTTGTTGACTACTAGTGTATTGGCATTCATACATCCGCTCCCCAAACTGGAACAACCCTTATGATACAGGAGAAGGTGGGGAAAAAAGTAAACAAAGAAAAAGCCTCGTATGTTGTTCTGCCCTCCTCCTTCTCCTCCTCCTCCACCGTCTCCCCTTCATTCCTCTTCATATCGGGGGTCAACGCTCTCCAGCTCTCTCAACAAGACGATAACACGCAACAAGAGTTGAATTCCGAGTCACGTTCTACGGCACGCTACTGCGAGCTCCCGCTCGTGCAGAAGCTTGTCCCACCTATCCCGTGTTTCCATCTTCATCGTCCTACCTTGGCCCCTTGATCTTTTTTTGGTGACCGCCCTTCATGCGTTTCCCGTGTGCCCGTGTACGCGTTTCTGCCTTGGCTGCCTTCTTACCTGCCTTTTTGCCTTTTTGCTTCCCTGACACGGGAGACTCGCAGAGGCCATTGTGTGAGTGTCTGCTGTCTCTGAAGAGTTTATTGAGTATCGATCCATCAAGAAATCATTCTTATCCTCTTCTTAACAAACACATACACACACACACATACACAACCCAGCCGTTCCCTACATCCAGACCTTTCGACAACTAAATTACCCCTACCTTTGTCTCAGTAGGACGGTAGGGATATGTAGTACGCAAAATCCAGTGTACTGTATGGGCTGGGCAAAAAGAGTGTAATGTTGGTTGCCCAGATCACGGATGCCGTCGCTGTACAGCGTAGTGCGTAGTGCCTCAAACATTTTGAACACACATGAAGTTAATTTTCTGTGTCTACTGAACTGCCAACGCCAACCGACCGAACCGAGAAAAGACAAGATACAAGACACACGACATACGAAGAGGTGGCGTAGTAGGTAGGACCCCGAACCCCAACATCAGTGATTTATCTACTTACACTTACCCATTTACCAAGCACTACTTACATCTGAAGTTACACCATACAGAAAGATATACCCCCCCCTCCCCCCTCCATTGCTCTCTCACTTCCCTTCCCGTGTCTCGGTCTTTGGCAAGATGTAACCCCAGCTTTCATATTCTTGCCGCTCATACATGCAAGTAATATATCGAGTGGATGTATATACCACAATAACGCAGATTTGTTATTGACTTATTATTCATCACCCCGGACCCTGGACCCACCCGGGTCGCAGCATCTTGAAATCATGATTTCTGTGCCGGCATCCGTGACGAAGGGTCAACAAATCCAACGGGCTAGACAGTTTGGCATCTTGCCCATCGCATATATGTAGACAGTTGTGTGACGGAAGAAGAACTTGCAGACTTCCTATACTTGTATAGCTGCTCGTAGTGCCCAGTGAAAAATCATGCTCAATAAGTTCACGTATCATTGCGCGTCCTTTCTTCGTCTACGTAAAGTAGATTTCACCCACTCGTGAGAAGTTGGTTAACATACATTAGCGCGACACAATCTATATTGTGGATGTAGCACAGAGTCACCATCTTTCGGTTCCAGATCACCATACGGTTGAAAAAGAGGCGTTGGATAATGGCCTCCTCGGTGTCACATGGGTTACGGCTTGTTCCGGTAGAGTTAAGTGGTTATGTCGGAAAGGTGTGGAGTGTGAAGCAGGTGTCTTGAACAGAAGGAGATCAGAAAGTTGCTACGTATAGCTCGGACTTTATGAGAATCATCACGATCGCAGATATACTAGCGGTCTCCTGCCAGCTGGGCATCTCGGTCGAGTGAAGAAAAAACAAAAAAAAAAAAAAAAGAGGAAAATAGAAAGACAGTAGTTAGGGAGACAGACTTCTATTGAGAGAATTTTAGATGAACGGCTCGCGAGTGTATCAGGTAGTTGCCCATTTCACAAAGCGTTGAATCACCCAAGAACAAGAAGAAGGCAATCTGCTTCGGTGCGCCGGGAAATCTTTTGGGGAAAGACAAACCAGTCGAATTGGGTCTCAAAGCCACCAGTTGAGGTCGATCAACCTAAAATAGAGAAAATGAAAGCCGACTCGGGAAGAAAGCACAAAACATAAAGCAAAAAAAGCTCGGCTATCCAAGCCTGGAATTGAACTCGGGGCCAGTTGCATGCCTGCGAAAACACCATGCATTTTCTGGCTATCAGCACACCTACAGTACCACGGTCGGCTCCCGAAAGTTTTTAGAAGGTCTGAACCTTTGGTTTACATGGTCCCAGTGAAGAACCTGCCGCTGAGTGAGAGCCTAGGGCCCGCCTATATACCGATCTGGAGATTCTTGGGCGTGAGAGGTTTTAATGGAAATGTATGGCTTGGATACGTGGTCTGGAGAGATTTCGAAGCCAAAGGTTGACTGCAAACTGGTCCCGTCCTTCACTACCATAGACACCTCGATCCAGCGAACAATTACCATCGAGAAAAATGATATACGCATTGATTCTAGCCTCTGATGTATGACCCTCTATGCGCCGGGTTCTACTTAACACCCAGGGTAGAACTAGCCACAACCCATTTTACTCTGTGTTCTGCATCAGGACATAACCTTATGTCTAACCCAAAACACCTCGACTCTTTTCAAGGTGGAATGGCCAGTTGGAGCCCCAACTCCTGGTATGAAACCTCTTGACGCATCTCAGAGTCTTTTGTTTTCTCAATATGCCCGCTGTGTGAGACCCACGCGGCGGCCACGTTTGCCAGAGCCCATCGATCGCATTGTGTCGTCCAAGGAACCAATGTCAGCAATTTGATCTGCCATGGAATTCATAAACTCCCCCTGGCCAGACTGAAACCCGTCGGTACTCTTGAAAACCGCATTAAACAGATTCCCAACAGCCTCGGAGAGAACAGTAATGGCTTGGACATGATCTGCGTCTTCACGAGACTCAAGCTCCAGCACGCCCTTGTGTTCGTCAATGCGGCCCTTGACTCGCCCATCAACGATCAAGAAACTCAGGATGTCCATAACTTCTGGTTCAGTTATACGCAGCCTCTCCGCAAGCCAGCCAATACGCATGCGGGTATATGGGGCAATAAGCTTAACCACTCCTTTGGTGCGCATGTTGCGCGTAACCTCGTCAATGTTCTCGGCGATAAACGTATCCGCTAGCAGGTCGGTGTTCTTCTGAAGTACATCCTCGTATCTGTAAATATCATCGCGCTGGTATGCGTCCACAAGCTCCGTCATGGCGGAGATGCGGGGGTCGTTCCTGTAGGGCTTCATCTCTTGGCTGTCAAAGGGGTTGATGTCCGACTTCATCAGCATAGTCGTTAAGAGCAGATACTTAAGGACCTGGATACGGCGAAGATCACCGGCTTCATCGTAGTTACGGAATGCCTCGAAGAAGTCGCTCTGGGCCTCCTTCCAGTTTTCCTCACTCATGTGCATCTTGCCACCACACTCGCGGATGACGCCCTGGATTTTGGGGTGGGGCACAGCAGACCGCACCTTGAGGGCCTTCTGATAGAGGACCTTGAGCTGGTTGTTGTTGCGTGTTTCGGAGTACATTTGAATTTCCAGGGCGTAGATTTCCAAGGAATAGGTGCCCTTGCTGGGGTCATCGGTTCCGTCGGGTTTGCGGCAGGCATTATGAAGCTCCCTCAGCTTGCGGGCGACTGCGTGGTAATCCTTACGGTCGAGCAACAGTCGGGCAAGCTTGATATTCGTCTTCAGCCATAGACGCTCGTTGTTTGTGCTCTGGAAGCACTGTAGTGTGAGGGAATAGAATTTCTCAATGCACTGCACGGCTTTGGGATCGTCGTATCCTTTCTCGATGTAGTTGAGCATGTTGTCAATGGACTTTTCGGAGTAGTTTCTCGTTACGGCCGACTTGACATAGGTCAGGAGTTCTTCGTAGTGCTCGGTTGCCTATACCTCTGTTTAGCTGTGGGCAAGTACGACGGGCCAACATTGGCATTACCGACCTCTTGGTATCGCTTAAGTTTGAATTCAAGCTTGATGGCCTGTTTCAGCGCTTTGAAGCCCCAATCTCCCTTTTCCTGCTCGAGCGGCGGTATGCTTAGGAACTCTTGGAGAGCTTCCTCGGGATCTGATGTTTTGGTCTGCTTGGCATTGTAGTACTTGTTTTCGATATCGACATCGCCGGTATCCTCCTCCTCGTCGTCTTCGTACTCGAAGTCATACTCCTGATCGGAGTCTTGCATGAAATCGTCGTCGGACATGGTTGCTGACGTAAACGAGGACGTGAAGAATCCGGTGGTATGAGAATGGGAGATTGAGGAGATTGAGGGATACTGAAGAAAGAATGCGTACTTTTGCGTGAAAACGGAGGCCTGTTCTATGCGGTGACGAAGTACACAAGACTGAACGTAAAGTGACAAATGGTGGTCGGTGTTAAAATGGCACAGATGCAGTCAGTGTGGACAGTGCAGTGGTCGCCGCTGCCTCTGGTAAGGCTGAAGCTCGAGTGGGGATGAGCTTCGTCAAGCGGAGACGGCAGTGACTGTGGGGTGTCGCTTTATCTATTGGTCAACCAACAGCAAACGTCAAAAGGCCAACCCCCCTGGGGTGTAGTTGCATACTGTACCTAGTAGGTAGCCTGAATGCCGCATGCCCAGCAGTGGCCGGGGCGTTCTCGCTGCCTTATGAAAATTGTCCCTGACTTGTACGTCAACTAACAGCCAAAGCAGGCGGTTTGCCACTCGACAACCATTCCCTTTCCCTCCCCCAATCCTTCACAAAGCGCGACCGGCATCGCGATTCTTAGTTCGCCGACAGGCCATTCACAGATCCGTTGCGTCAATCGATTTCCGATCAACCGCCCAATTTCCCCAAACCTACCACAACAACAACAACACCACCACCACTCGCCTGCTGCATCAGCAGCACCAACACCGCCAAGATGGGTTCCGGAGACCTGAATATGAAAAAGAGCTGGCATCCCCAACGATCGGGGAACGTCGCTGCCACCCAAAAGGCCGAGGCCGAAGCAATCGCCGAGCGTAAGAAACTGCAACAGCGGCTACAAGAAATCGAAGAAGAGCGGCGCAAAGAAGAAATTCAGAAAGCGCTCGAAGCCGCCGGCGGCAAGCGCAAGATCGACCGCGTCGAATGGATGTACAGCGGCCCGACCGACGGACAGGCTGGCGACTCTGCTGAAACCGAAGCCTACCTGCTCGGCAAGCGGCGAATCGACAAGCTCCTCCAGGACAACGATGCCAAGAAGGCGCTTTCGAAACAATCCCAGCAGGATCTTCTGTCGGCGGCCGGCCCGGCGCCGGTGGTGACTAATGCGCGCGACGTGGCGACCAAGATTCGCGAAGACCCCCTGCTTGCGATCAAGAGGCAGGAGCAACAGGCGTATGAGGCGATGATGAACGACCCCATCAAGCGCCGACAACTGCTGGCGTCTATGGGAATCGATGACTCGCAGATCGCCGCTAAGGGAGGCAAAGAGCAAAGACGACACAAACACCGCTCTCATCATCATCACTCGGATCGGCATAGGGATCGTGACGATAACCGCGACCGCGACAGCGCCAGAGACAGAGACAGAGATAGACACTCCCGCCGACGCAGGTCTGACTCTCGAGATCGGTCCCGGAGCAGGAGCCCACGGAGGCGCAGCGATTCCGAGGAAGACCGAAGCAAGCAGCGCAGACGAGACTCGCCCGACCGGACAAGGAGGCGAGACCGGGATCAAAGCAGGAGTCGGGGAAATAGAGATAGGGACGATAGCAGGTCGCGAAGACATCGATTCCCCCAAGCCCGCTCTCGCTCCAGGTCAGGGTCACCTGGCGGCCGCTCCTCGCGAAGAAGGGAGTATTCCCGAGAGCGTGAAAGAGGCGGACCATTGTCGCGTAGGGACGACCGCAACAGCCGTGATCAAAACCGACCACGCAGGGATTATGCAAAGGAAGATGAGCAGCCGAAATATGACGGTGGGCTTAATAAAGGTGGCAGGCGGCAGCAGCAGCCAGACGGGGACCACAAATATGCGGAGGAAGAGCGTGCTAAGAAGCTGGCTGCCATGCAAGCGGCTGCCACCGATCTGGACAAAGCTCGCGAGGAGCGGCTCAAGGCCCTTGCGGAAGCAGAGCGGGCGGAGAGAGAGGCGGATGAGAAGGCGCGCCAGCAGAATAAGAAGTATCGTGGGGGTGATGCTGGGTTCATGAGCGGCCTGCACAGTAGGGCGGCGGACATGAAGATTGCAGACCGCATGAATGGTAGAGTCTGATTGTGAGGGAGTGGTTTTGTTCTGGTTCACACTTGATGATGAGATACCCGGTTAGAATGGATACATAAGCGTCGGATGGTTAGACGATAACACTGGTATTGCAAATGCGATAATAATAGTACGCAGGCGAACATTGATAACAATGCAAATTGTAAAGTTTTCAAAAGTATGCCATAACTCCTGTATCATGCCATGATGTCCAAGAATAAACCTTGGTAGACCTAACAGCACGACTTCCCCAGTAAATCATTCGTTCGTAAGTCTCCAACCCAAAAGCATTTAAGCGCTCTCCTCGGTCTCTTCGAACATGACCAACACAGTTCCAGCCTTGCAGATATCCTGCAGAAGTAGGTTAGCGACTTATTTTGTACCATTCGGAGACGGCTGTACATACTCCTTCCTTGTGTGCCAGCTTCTTGATTACGCCGCTCTGTGGCGACCGAATAACCGTCTCCATCTTCATCGACTCGATACTGTACAACCCAAGGAGTTAATAACCTATCCAGGCCAGAATGGGGTATCGAAAACGCAAGAACTTACACAACCAACGGGGCACCCTTCTCCACCGACTGACCCTCTTCAACTTCATTCCTCAAGATCTTGCAAGGCATCGGCGCCACCACGCTAGCCGCAACTTCCTTTAAGCCCAGCGCCTTATCAAACCACACTGGGCTGACGAGTCTGAGCTGAGTCTTGTGACCAAGCTGGAAGACCGTCAACTTCTCGTTATCCGCAGGGTCCTGGACCAATGTTGTGTCGACCCTCGCAAGAGGGAAGTACGTAGTCAGCTTGGTCTTCTTTGCTGATGAGGTCGGGGCCGTTGTAGAAGTTGACTCGGACACAATGTTCTCAAACACTTGCGGCTTGTCATCGCCCTCCTTGCGGACGGACACATTGAACAGCTTGTTGTTCAGCTGCGCAACTTCAACCTCGACGATCTTGCCTTCCTCGGTACTGGCATCGTCTTGGACACGGAACGCGAACTTGCGCGAGTTCTGAGTACTGGCTTCGCCGAAGCCGAGGGCCTGGCCATGTGCAGCAGGGACATTTTGTGTCTGGGTGCCTAGGAGACCAAGGGCCGCTTGGGCGAACACATCGTTGGAGGTAGGCTTGGCTTCAAACAGTTCAGTCTTCCACATGTCGATGAACCCGGTCTCGACATCACCTTCGATAAAGGCTTGGCTGTTACAGAGTCTCTTGAGGAACTCAATGTTTGTGCTCAGCCCGACAACTTCGTATTCGCGCAAGGCCAGTTCGAGCTTGCGGATGGCCGTCTCTCTATCCTTGCCCCGGACGATAAGCTTGGCGATCATCCCGTCGTAGGCCTCAGAAACGGTGTCACCTTCCACGAAGCCGGCATCAATGCGGACGTCTTCGTTTGTTTGAGGTTTTGAGAGATGTACCAGAGTCCCTGAGTCAGGGAAGAAGCCCTTCTCCGGGTTCTCAGCGTATATCCTGGCCTCGATGGCGGCACCTCTTTCCAGAATCCTGGCTTCGATTTCGTCCTGGGTCAAGGGAAGCTTCTCGCCGGCAGCAACCCTAAACTGCCACTCGACAAGGTCGGTACCCGTGACCATCTCACTGACGGGATGCTCTACCTGGAGGCGAGTGTTCATTTCCATAAAGTAGAACTCGTTGGTGTCCTTGTCCAAGATGAACTCGACGGTGCCGGCGCCCACGTAGTCCACAGCAAGGGCAGCCTTCCTTGCCTTGTCCCATAGATCTTTCCGTGTTACATTGTCCAACAAGGGTGCAGGGCTCTCCTCGAGGATCTTCTGATGTCTCCTTTGGACACTGCAATCGCGCTCGCCAAGGGCCACGCAGTTACCACGACGATCAGCGAAGATCTGGACCTCGACGTGCCTAGGCCGCACAATGTACTTCTCCACGAGCATCACCTCACCACCTTCACCAAAGCTAGCGCGTGCCTCAGCCCTTGCGCTCTTCAGCTGGGCCTCGAATTCGCCCGCGTTGCGCACAATACGCATACCCTTACCGCCACCTCCCTTGACGCTCTTGAGCAAGACGGGGTATTTGATGTCGGCGGCCTTGGCCTTGAGCTGCTCGACAGACTGCTCGGAGCCATGATAGCCGGGGACGCATGGCACGCCGGAGGCGTTCATGATCTCCTTGCTGCGGGCCTTGTCGCCCATGTCGGTCATGGCCTTGGCGGGAGGACCAACAAAGACAATACCGGCCTCCTCGCAGGCCTTGGCAAAGGCAGGATTCTCGCTCAGGAAACCGTAACCCGGGTGGAGAGCCTGGATGCCATGTTGCTTTGCGAGCTCAACAATCCGTGGCCCATCGAGGTAGGCCGAGGGAGCGCCGAGGGAGAGGGCATAGGGGGTGCACTTGGCATGTTGGGAAGCGGCATCGATATCGGTGTAGAGGGTCGTGGTGCGGATGCCCATAGACGCCGCCGTTCGAGCAACGCGGAGAGCGATCTCACCACGGTTCGCAATGAGAACGGATGAAATGGGAGTTACCGACGTGTTGGTGCTGCCATTGACCGTGACTGTCGACGAGGTAGGGGCGGTTGTCGAGAGGAAGCGGGCTCCCGAGCCAGGTACAGAGTTGGGAACGGCGCGCAAAGAGGCCGGGAGACGGCGTGAAGCCCGTTTGATGGATCGCATGATGGTGATTTTGGGAATGCGTAAGAAGAGATGGCTCAAGCAAACTTGCAACTGCTCTCTCAAAGAGCTCCGAAAAAAACAAACAAACTAAAAGAGTGAAGACGGAGGAGAAGAGCACACGGAACTTTAACAAACAGAAACAAAAACTGACAATAAGCCGAACAGAGAAATCCCAACCCGCCTCTGTCTGCTAGACCGTCACTGTCCTACCTTTTTCGATATCTGGGTAGTGCTTCGCACGCCAATAGGTTATCGTCCATCTTCCCGAGGTTGAGACTGCCGTGTGAGGAGGCCCGACACTAGCCGTTGATCCCCTGCCACTTACAAGATCGGATTCGTCTTAGCCGTGAACCTCGTGACCAAAACCTCTGTTGTTGATGATTGCGGTTAGTGGATCTTTGGGAATTCCTCCTTATCACCACGCTTTCGGTGCGTTGCTTAGGCCATGGGAACCAGAAGCCGCAGAGACCATCCCTTCTCAATCGTGATATGAAGTCGCGATGTCCTCGACTTTCCCCAGAAAGAGGGTGAAAAGTGAAAGTTCGGGGAAACGTCATTTCAGACCGGGGTTGTGGGGTTCTGATTGTTCTCCTCTTCCCCGCAATTTGAAGGCCCCATTCCCGTCTTAGTGTACTTAGTACCTCAAGCTCCAACAGCAGGGATGTATTATCGCTCCCTTATCACCCAGGCTACAGGACCCATGCTGCTAACCTCCAAGGTACCTATCGTCCAGGCAGGCATTCCTAGCACCAAGTTTACGTAAAGCGTCACCACCGGTTTGTGACAACAATTATTAGGTAGTGGAAATAATATCGAGAGAGCACCTATGGACACGCAGTGAACAATGGTTCACCGCATCAAAGTTTGTGGAAGCAATCCGTTCTCGTCATCGGGATCTTATAAGCTTCATACCTTACCTAGAGGCAGTTAAGCGTTTCGCGCAAGCCAGCTTCACGTCTTATTGACATCGACCCACCCGAAACGGACGGATCCTCTGCTCCACCTGCGCGGGAGAAACCCATCATTCCACTTCCACTCGGCGGACCGCCACCCCACAAACAACCACCACCACCTTGATGGCATAGACTCATCATAAACCACAACACAACACACCGACGACCAAACACCACAGCTATACACACATCGCAACAACACAAAGGAAGAAAGTTCACGCCAGCAGACGCAATGAACCAACAGATACCTCTCAACTACGAGGCCTCAGCCGGCAACACCCACATGCGCATCACCAGCGAGCTCCCGCCCGAAGTCGTCCAATGTCTCGAGAACGCGCGCTTCCTCCACCTAGCCACTTGCGTCGACAACATGCCTCACGTCTCGCTCATGAACTACACCTACCTCCCCTCTTCGCCCTATTCCGACTCCCCCATCATTGTCATGACCACCAACCCCGCCAGCAAGAAGATGAACAACCTGGTCGCGAATCCGAACGTTTCTCTGCTGGTTCACGATTGTAAGCCCTCCAACCATCCATCCCCTCTTCCCGTTTTCTTCCGTCTCCCCCTCTATCCAAGCAAAAGCCATGGCTAACACTTTGAAAAGGGGTCTCCCACCGCCCCTCCACCTCTCACCAGCGTCGTCCCTCCAGCGGTTCTCCCGGTCCCTCGGAACACCGCTCCTCTTCTCTCGCGGCCCTTCTCTTCAACCTCAACACCAGCGCCGTCTCCTCCATCAGCGCGACCATCAACGGATCCGCCCGGCTCGTCGACCGCGGCTCCGAGGAGGAGCGCTTCTATCGGGAGAAGCATCTGGAAAACAACACGTTTGACAGCGACCCGCAGCCGTCGTCGATTTTGAGCAGCATTCGAAGGGGCAGCACCGCGGGCCAGCCGACATCGATGTCGCAAGGTGGGCAAGGTGCGGGGGAAGAGGGAGATTATGGTAGGGAGAGATACGTGGCGGATGAGGAAGTGAGAGTGGTGGTGGTGGGGATCCGGGATGTCCGGATTGCGGATTGGAAGGGGACGGTGCAGGATTGGGTTATTGCGCCGCCGGAGGGAAGGAGTGAGGGGACGAATGAAACTTTGGTGAATGGTATTCGGTAGATTGAAGTGGTTTGATATGGGGACGGACCGGAATGAACAGGGATCATTTAGACTTAAAGTGAGGAAAGTATCGTGGTATGGTGGAATACTCGAGCCTTTTAACCCATTGCTTCGAGAACTCTATTTTGAGACTCAAATATTAAAACGTATGGCTGAGAGTATACATCCAGCCAGGAGTTTTAGACACTGAAACAATGAAATGCTCTCATTCTCAGGAGTCATGAGTTGTACATCCTAGCACCCGTTGTCCGCTTCGTTAATCATACATCCTTATCCATTCTTCCATATCTGTCTAACGGCCAATAAGCTTTTTTTTTCGGCTTTCCCCATCGACACTTGGAGTGCCGTCTTCAAATTATTCCTTTGCTGCCCATTTTCATACGAGCATAGGTCCTTCTCCTGGGTGGCCAAGAAAGCCAGGGAAAAGGCCCATCTCATATTTTCAACCCAACACCGTTACCTCATCCGAACGCCGACTGGTGCAGAGAATAAAACAATGTTACAATTTGCGCAAGATATTACACCAGGCAACGCGTCAACCCTAAAATGCGTTCCTCAAGAAAGACTTATGATGACGTGACGACGTAAATGCTCATGTGGAGTGGCGCTCATTTAAGCTGCCCACTCGACAACCTCGAGAGCGCACATGACCAACATGAGGGTGGAAGGAAGGATCCTAGGAATAAAATATCAGTGACGGAACGTTATTACGGCATCACCAACGAGAGTTCCATGAAAACCTACCAGATGACGTAGCTTTGGAACAAGATCTTGCCCATGACTACCTCGTACACGTTGTTGATCTGGCAAATCTGAGCCAGCTGAAGCGCGCTAGGCGCACCGGTAAGGAGGAAGCAGACGATGACAAAGATCGGGTCGTCCAGAATGCTGACAGGCACATACTTGGCGAAGAGCGCAAGAATGGGCGCCATGATTAGAGTCGGGAGGAGCATACGGCTAATCAGGGAAGCAACCAGCAGCTTGGTGCCAATCTCCTTCTCCTCGGCTTCCACTTCATCACGCTTCTGCGTATTGCGCGCCAAGTTAGCTCCCAATACAACCAAGATCAAGGGAACAGCGACGCCAGCGGAGGAGTTGATGGCGCTGGTGATACTGGTCTTGACAAAAGTGTCGTCCTTGAAGAAGAGTTCCTGGAGATCGGGGATCGAGGCCACAATGACGGCGAAGAGCATAGCCCAAAGAGGTGGGTTCATGAACTCCCAGAGACCGGCACCGAAGCGGCCCATGCCGCGGTAGATCTTGATAAGCACAGTCTGCAGGGGAGCCGGAAGAGCAGAGAATACAGTACGAGCGACACCAGTGACGGAAGCCCACACTGATACAGCAGCCTTCTTGGCCAATGCCTTGACGCGCGCCGGGAAGCCTTTGGGAACCTCACGTTCATGCGCGTGACTGATGCGTGGAAACGACATTATTCCGTTGGGCCGCTCATCGCGGTCGGATACAGCGCTGTTGTCGTTGTTGACCTTCCGAATAGTATCCGAATCGTCATCGCCAGAATCACTAGGAGAGGTCCTTGACGACCCAGTAACAGGAGTTCGACCTGCAGGCTCGTAGACTTCGGAGTTGTCGGACTGCGTTGTTGGGCTCCTATAACCGTGCGCATAGCTTTCTTCGCCAATCTCGTGGGTGCTATCCAGCCCTTGAATAAGCTGCGCCGCTTCTTCGTCCTCATCCGGTTCGTCGCGGTACCGACCCTCCTCGATCGTTTCGTTGTTGTATTCATCGTACTTGGACTTGGGCGCAAGGAGAACGTGAAACCCCCAGCTCCAGCGGACAAGCTGGCCAAGTTGCTGGAAGACCATCAGATACAGAATACCGCGTGCGGCAACCTCATCATCGTTATCACCCGGGATCCGGTCCCAATGCAATCCCTTCAAGGTTTGCGACAGCGAGATAACCAGGGAGATGGGCAACGAGTTGGAGTTGCCAAATACGCCCATGGCGGTGACGAAGTTGGAAGCGCGCTTGTTGAATCCGAAGCATTTTGCAACTCCCACCGAGACTATGTACGAGACGAACGTCTGGATCACGAATATGATAGGAATGACGCCGAGTTCAATCAGCTTATCGGCGTTAAGTTGAGATGCAAGCTTGGTGAAGACTGTGCCACCAACGTTAGCCAATGGCCCCCAAGATACTGTGGGCGGGCGAAGAAACTACTACGTTGTATTGCGTGTGAACTCACTAAGACATGGCGTAAATAGCATTACGTTAAGGTTTGCCAAGAACTTCTGCTTCTCAGCGTCGAAGTGGCCAAGCCTGGCAATAATGTATCCCGGCAAACTGACGCATACTACCTCGAGGACGGCCCCGAAGACGAGGAGCACGATATGGGGGAGGGACGGATGAGAGTCATGTTCGCCGGGCGCGAAGACGGTAAAGGGTGCGGTAGTTGATATCGAAAAGTCGTTGAGCGAATCGCCAGCGGTGGTCACGGCCGTCCGCAATGACGTCGGCGATCGGATGTTGAGGAGACCCATCAAGTGTCACAAAATCGGCGAAGTCGATTCGAGCAACGGGTTGAGTAATGCCAACTGGAAGCGGACAAGAGCTTAACTCTGTGTGGTTCGAATATGATAATTTGCGGTCTGGGAGAATGGATCGGAAGAGACCACGGAGAGGTGGGGGTCGGGTGCTTTTGGTTTTTTGTTTTTTTTTGTTTCCAGCTCTGGGCTGAGGCAGGCAGGGTTAGTTACGTGGGTACCTCTAGTGTAAATCCTCGTAGGTTTTGGCGCAGGCTTGCAAGGCTTTGATACAGTGACAGGTTGTAAGCGCTGGAGTCCGTGGTTTGCAGGGGCCGAAAATGCTTCCCTTGTTACCTAGGTACCTAGGTAGATGCAAAGATGATGTGATTAGTATGAACAGGAAGGCGTTTCCCAATAGCTTGACCAATTCTTTTGAAAGAAACAGAAACTCCACGAAGGACGATGGGCTCCAACCACCGATGTTGAGTCCTCGGACGCTCTTTGGAAGATAAGAACAGGCTGGGGTCCGTGTTAGGTATGAGTGGCGGCTGGAGGCTTTGAGGTCTTGGAAGTCTTGGACTGCGTAGCTATCCCTCCGTGTGGCACACTGGCGACATCAGCCTAGCCCTTGGCTTCCGGCAGTGCCGCGGTGACTGTCAGGTGGAAAGTGCCGGACCGCCTCACAATGTGGGATGATTGGATCAGGATTGCATTCTAGCAATAGAAGAGGGAGGCAGCCACTGGATGCGCAACAAAGCGCAAGACGACGGATGGCAAGCGATAGAAGGGTACGTCAGCCGATTCGGACTCTGCCCCTATTTCCTAACGCGCTGGCATCTATCGCCAGGTTGTGGCCTAACAAGCCTCACAGACCTTCGGAAGTGTCGCTGAGACTCCGCAGAATCCAGTTGCGTGTCGAAATGCTGCTCTCCAACTCGTTGTCTGCGCTTTGGTCGGATGCCAAGGAAATGCCAAGCCCTATGATATGTATCCCTCTGGACCTTTGCGGTCTCGGGCTGTTGGCCCTTGTCACATACCGGAAAACATCAAACGCAAAGAGCCGGAAGAATGACGATACATTCCAGAAAGAGTGCAACATGAAACGAGCAAGTGTTCCTACCCTCGCACGCCCTGCTACGTTATAACGGCCGGCCTATTTGCACCCAAACCCTTGTCTGCCAGGAACAAGCTGCTCACATTTCCAAGTCTATGCAGCATCTAGACCGTTGGGACTCGAAAGGTCATCTCGTCGCCCTAGTACTACATACGCTATACATATCACGCTAGCAGGCATGCTGTTTTCAGATGTTCCTCTGGATTTCGACTTTGGAACAGGTGTTTAACGACTCCAGTTTTTACTCGTTTCGGATTCCACAAATGACGCGGTGTTAAAGACTTACAATAGATAGGAAATCGGATTTCCTGTTGGGTTTTTCGCCGCACATACGGCCCTTCGGACTGATTGAGGGGCTGCACCTGTCACATGAATCATCGATTCTTTGATGGACGGGGAACTCAGTGCTCATGGACGATAACGTCGATTGGCAATCCATCCGATATGGTGTGGATGCCCCAGGCTCGACTGTCAGCATTTCCGTCACCGAGAGCAGCATACCGTGTTGACATCGCCGCGAAGAGACCAACCGACGGTTATTCTACATGGTATATAAGATCCGTTTATGGATACTCCAAATGGTGATGCTCTGTATGCTACGATCAGCGTGTTGTTGGACGTGTGATCGTACACTACAGAAATGGAAGTTAACATGCGCTTCGCTTCTACCTCGGACACAGGATCGTCGGTGCAAGAGAGCTGGTGTTTGCAGATCGCACAGCGTGTTTCGTGTAAATCTGGCAGTGTAGGGTAGAATCCGCGAAGCATCTTGAGACTTTGAAGTGCACCCTCGTCAAGACAAGCATGACAAGCACGATCTACTTACTGACAAAGCAGGCGATCCATGCGCAAGTACATGGATGCGCTATATGATCTGGCCATACAAATCTATCTCGAGGTCGAATATCTATCTCTACCTGTCCTTTTTGCCATTTACCATGCACTAGATTGCGCCCAATCGCCTGCCGGACTATAGTGTGCTTCCTCAACCACAGCATAGCGTTGGGTAGACTGTCCTTCACTTGATCCTGATTTTTGCCAGGCCGCTCTCTGCCATGACGCAAATGCCAGCCATGAGCGTCGGCCATTGCCATCACAGCCCAAATCATCGCGAGCCCTATACACGTGTTCCACATCCAACAGTACCCTAGCGGCGTAAGACGACAAGCTGCGCTTGGATATGCCACAGTCGCCGGGGTAGTACACCGCAGTCACGGTCACCACCAGCACGAGAGTATATACGCGATACCTTGCACTTTGACAAAACCCGGGCAGTGGTCTTGTTCCTGGCTGACTGGCTGCTGTCTGGTGCCAATAGCTCCCGCCGTAACATGCAAGTGCGCGCGAACCACGGCTCTTGTCCACTCCCAATCACCCCCGATGCAGATGGGTACACACCATAGCCCGTCAATGGTCCCCTTCCCCCGCCTCCCCCACCCCCGGCCTGGGAGGTGACTTGATTGTTTGGCTGGCTCTCGCTGGCTCTCTCGCTGGCTTCCCGCGGCGCAGGCAGGATGATCCAGGAGACAACGTCATAGCAAGATTTCTCAAGATCCCTAGCTCCAATTGCCCCACTTTCCTTTCTGAAGCATGGAAGTTGCTAAACACCAGCAGGACCAAGAAATGCGGTATCTCCAAGTACCACGCCGACATCTGGCGTCAACTGGTGTACCTTTCCTTTCCCCGCTATACGCCGCGGAGTGTACGGCATCTGAGTGGGTTTGGGCGTTGAACTTGGCTTTCTTCCGCGAGCCGCTCGGACGGCTGTGTGGAGATGAGGTGTACAACACACAAAAACCTCAAGGCTACCTAGTATAAGGGTTAGGTGCTGGTGTTGACTATGGTTAGCTCCGAGGGTGTAGGGACCGATGAGAGACCCTCGCGCATGAATGTGAAATTAGCGCGTCGAAAAGATCGTTTCGAGCTTTCGTTGTCCATGATCACAATCGTGCCTCTTTGGTGATAGTTGTCGTGACTGGCTGCGCAGACTTGATGCCAAGCTTTGGAATTTTGCTGAGTGCGCTCTTCACATTTGTAGCAGGCTCGCTCGGATTCTTCCGAGTGCCGAATATCGTACCTGACTCGACGACATGACATAGAACTCGTCTTCCATGTCCACTGGGAGCCAAAGCGGCACTCTGTGATATTGCTGCTGTTGCTTCGTCCTTCCTGTGGCCCTAATCGTTCCTTTTTATATGCCGAAAAGGAAATTATTCACCCAAGGAGTACCGTGACCTGCGATACACTGTGCAGCGAGTCGTAAAACCTTGGCAAATCCCCTGCAGCACATGGTGTGCCCAGTCTTTCGTTCTTTTCTTTTCTTTTTTTTTTTTTTTTTTTTTTTTTTTTTTTTTTTTTTTTTTTTTTTTTTTCCTGTCGACCGACCTCGTTGTCGACTGTCTGTGTCCGGCTTGAGCTAGCAGTGAAATAGGATGATATCTGTCGTGGCTAACTGCGCAGTATAGTGAAGACCTGGTCAGGTGCCCGCAACTCCGCGGACCAGCTGGAGCAAGCTCCGTATATTGGCGGACCAATACAAGCCTCCTCATGAGTTCAATGGTTGGCAGAAAAAGACGGACAGACGATGCTTGGTGGGCGCAGCGAATTCTGGGATGTTTTCCTTGGAGCGTTAGCTCAGACGACTGGGGCACTATTCTCGGCATATCGCATTCCCTCTTCCTCCCCTGCGAGCTTGGGACGGGAGACCGGGAATGGAAATGGGGATTTGATGGGAAGTGGAAGGAAGGCATGGACCACCTAGAGGGGCGTTTTTTGCGAAATGCGGAGCAAAAGCCCCTGCTCCGTGCTGCTCGGCGTTTGCCCAGGCAGTGCTTTGGAGGTGCCCACTGCCCGCCCGCTGAAGTGATGAGATGCCCGCCGGCAGCAGTACCTGACCTTCCAGCCTAGGAACCTCGAGTGACCTCAACCAAGAAGTTGGTGAACCAAGTGAAGTCCTACATCCAAAACCCGCCCGCCAGCCAACGTCGATACCACCTCACCTCCATCGTTTTGTGTCCCCTACTGAGGTACCTCCCTACTTTAGTTGGACTGGATCTTGGACCGGGTCCATAGTCGATATCGACCTTTCACTCCGCCGGGCACTACCTACGTCGACTAGTACGTTATCTTTCTTTTCTTCCTCTTCCTCCTCTTCCATATTCCTACCTCTCTCTATTCACAAAGAGAGAGAGAGAGAGCGCGCGAGAGCCACGGCTTGCTTCCACCATCACACCCCATGTTCACGAACCTGCGAGTCTCAGCCGCTGTCCCTCTTAGCCGTGTTCAGAGCTCTCTATCTACCAACTACCCTAGCTTGCACCCCCATTACTAGCTCACTTTCTGTTGGGCCTGCCCGCTCACCTGTCAATCCATAGCAGGCCAGCCATCGTAGCGTGGTGCTTTGTCATCGGTTGCGAACATCGTCACCTTGCAGCTCTTTGCGAGACCAGAGCCAAATCTTTGGATGTTGCGCTTTCGATTATCTCTTCTTTGACGCCCTCTCCGCCCTCCTACATAACCTCTACGGAAACTCCTCCCCTTCGACGACGACGACGACTATACCGACCCAACCTCAAGTTCGAGTAGCCTCTCGACCAGCAAATCGCTCCTCCCACGCTGCCTCGATATATCCCATACCTTTGCCGCCCCTCTTTTCAGAGCCGCTTCAACATCAATAGCAGCTTGCGCCGCATTTTGCTAAAGACCTTCCATCGACCAACACTTTGGCACTTGCCTGCAGCAAAAAAGAAAAAAAACTAGTATCGCACAGCGCTCAAGATAAACTACTTGCCAGCATCATGTCGGACCACGACCCCGATCACGGCCCAGCTAGCCCAAACGAATATGACGATGAGAGCAACCCGGCTTCTCCGGGCTCAATCGACGAGTCGTCCGAGGCAAGCACGCCCATGGACCCGCCAAGCTCAGGTTCAGATGCGATGCCTGGTTTCACACCAGAAGGCGACCTGCCTCGCAGAGTGCCATCATTACGGACCATCTCCGACCCGCAACACACGAATTCAATGAGCCCTAGTTCGAGTGTTCCTGGGACATTGAATGCCGCACGAAGACCTGCGGCATCCGCAGCAAATCTTCCAACGGACCTCATGGCAAAGGCACGAGCTCTGCATCAACAGCGGATGGGCATGGCTCCCCGACCCAGCATGTCGCCGCAGAATAGTGGACTAGGTATGGGGCCTATGGGATCAGGCATGGGCGGGATGGGAAGTATGGGGGGCATGGGACACAGCATGAACTTGAACATGAATCACGGTGGTCCGGCACCCGGCGGCCTGCCCGGTGGCCTTCGGTTACCTCCAGGTATAGCACGACCACCGCCCCAAGGCTTCCCCAAATCCGCGCCTGCCATAGCCGGTTTGGGAGCTAAAAAGGCCCCCAGTCTGAGCGAACGACGAGCGATGAAGCTCGGAGGGCTACCAGGAGGGCCTGGGTCACCGGTGACTGCCACGCCGAAACTATCAGACATGGGCGCCGAAGACGCCAAAGCGCCAGCCATTAATGGAGAAGGGCGCGGATCAAAGCTGAGCGATTTCAAGAACTACATTGACGCAGAAAAGGGGTGGATCACTTTTGCAGACGCAGCAACCATCACACGGACAGGCGTCAACTTCGCCAACGGACAGACCTTCAGTATCTCGCTAGACGAGGTCGAAGTGATGGACGAGCTAGGCAAGGGCAACTATGGTACCGTCTACAAAGTACGACATAGTAAGCCCAAGCTTCCACGTTTTGGGCAAGGCTTGAACACCAAGCAGTCTTTATCTCGACAAGCGTCGGCATCAGATGCTGACGTTTCCGATATCTCGCCACTAAGTCCTGTCACTGCCGCTGCGCGTGGCATTTCAGGCAAGGTCATGGCGATGAAAGAGATCAGACTCGAACTGGATGAATCCAAGTTTTCCACTATTCTCAAGGAACTCGTAATTCTCCACGAGTGCGCTTCGCCCTACATCATTGATTTCTACGGCGCCTTTTACCAAGAAGGCGCGGTATATATGTGCATCGAGTACATGGATGGCGGCAGTATAGACAAGCTATATGCCGGAGGTATCCCCGAAAATGTCTTGCGCAAGATTACATATGCAACGATCATGGGCCTCAAGTGCCTAAAAGAGGATCACAACATCATCCATCGCGATGTCAAGCCCACCAATATTCTGGTCAACACGAATGGACAAGTCAAGATCTGCGATTTTGGCGTTTCGGGAAATCTCGTTGCCAGTATAGCAAAGACCAACATTGGCTGCCAGAGTTACATGGCACCAGAACGCATCAGCGGTGGTGGCATGTCAGCTGCGGGCGGCGCGGCTGCCGGGACTTACAGCGTACAAAGCGATATTTGGAGTTTGGGTCTCACCATTATCGAGTGTGCCATGGGTCGATACCCATACCCGCCTGAGGTTTCTAGCACAATCTTCAGTCAACTCAGTGTAAGTCTTCTTTCTGCTTCCCTATCCACATCCCTAAAGCGTACACACAAGCTAACAGAATGAACGATCCAGGCCATCGTTGAGGGTGACCCTCCCGGCCTCCCAAGTGAGGGCTACTCCGGCACAGCTCAGGACTTTGTCAAGTCCTGTCTCAACAAGATCCCTGCCAAGCGCCACACCTACCCGATGTTGCTGATGCACCCATGGATCAAGTCCCTCGGCAGGCCCGAGACCATCACGGAAGAAGTGGAAGCCGAAGAGAAGGCCGCGGACGACCAGCTTGCCGACGCCACCGGCTCGCTCGACATCAACAGTAACGGACCGATCAACGACCAGGGCGATCGTGAGGTCGCTGAGTGGGTCACCAACGTCCTGGACCGCAAGCTCAAGGGCTTGCTCAGTGATAAGGCCGAGAAGCCCGCTCTGCACGCTGCACCGCTGGATCAAGTGAGCCCGGGCATTACCGCTTAGATGAGTTGTGGTCTATTTGACTGTTTGTCTCTCTCAAAGGCTAGTTGGATGCGCTCATCTTGTCGTGTTCTTTTTCTGCTGTCCACCTGTTCATTTATAGCGTGTGTACAATCATACAAATACGAATACAGGGGAAGGAAAGAAGGAAGGCCGGGTAGCATGAGCATTACTGGGATTCAAGTACACGGTAGAATCCGGAAATCTCCGTTGGGATTTTTGTTGTTGTATCTATTTCTCTATATTACAATTTTTTCCACCTTTCAGATGCTGAATCAGTGATATGAAGTGACGTTGAGTTGGGTGTCTGAACAGTAAACAGGAGGCCTGGTCACTCGATCTGGGTATTGTTTTCTTTCCAAATCCAGACGAACAAGAATTTCTTCTCTTCTCGTTGCCTATGCCAAGCGGGTCGCTCTTTCCAGGTTCTGCCAATATATCACACTGTGCGTGGAGGTAATATCATATTCATGAATTGGGCGTTCCGATACTTTGTCGGGGGTCGAAGCGCCGTTGACACCATTCCGTGGTTGTTTGGTCATGCAAACATGTTCCTATTGGTACATTGATCTTCACAAGTCATCCAAATACCGGTTTATTCAGCCACCACAACTTCACACAGCACGCATGAATCGGTCAATGCAATCATAAGGTATTAATTAATTAAAGGTGGCATAGGACATCGAATGCCAAAGAGACTATTAAGAACCGCCGATCAAGGAAAAGGGCTCGCGCCTTTACAAGGTGAATCTCAGTCTCTTCCTCTTTCTTCCTTCGTCAAACTTTCCTTCAGAAAAAGAACCAAATCCAAGTAAAAACAAACGTTCCGCCCCCTCCCAAAAGGTATCATCTCTCATTTTCATTTCATCATCACAAGACTCGTCAGTTTTGTCTCTCGTTAAAGCTGCAACCATCTTGCCACCATACATCACAAGTCCAAATGTCCGTCCGACTAACAGGCATCTCCTCTTTACGTGTTCCTTTCTCGTCCCTTTTTATTTTATTTTTTTTTCTTTTCTTTTCTTCTTGTTTGTTTAACTCATCGGTTTTAAGCCGCCAGACCTGATCTCGCAAGACGGGGCGGTCGGTAAGGTGCATACGGATGCGCATTTGAATGATCCAGAATCGCCGTTCCCAACGCCGGTGCCGGCGCCGGACCACCGCTCATTACCGGCGGCGCCGGCGATGGCGGTATGACCGGTTTGCTCGCTGTGTAGTTGCGCATTGCATTTAGTAGTCATCCTTAACCCTCCGTCCATCGAAGGACTTGCCACTGTTGCTACGGCGGCCCCAGTTGAAAACGCCACGTTTTCTTCCCTCGCTAGGGCCCGTCACGGGGCCGTCGGCGACAACGTGATCGTGACCGTTGGTAGCATAAGTGGCGCGGCGGTTGACATAGTGGTTCTTGTCGCGTTTGAGCATAGCCAAAAGGAACAAGACGGTGCTGATGGCTAAAGCGGCCCAGGCGCCCCAGGCGAAGCCGAAGGCGTACCGGCCGAGGTGGGCCTCGCGGCCGTCGCGGTGGAAATGGTTGCGCATTTTAACGAAGGTGGCGCTGTGAAGGGGGTCAGTTAGTTAGTTACATGATGACTTCCATGTCTCTCTGTTGCCGACGATTTGTTGGGGTCTAGTGTAGGGGTGCGGGGAAGAAGAATTGGGGTGGGGAGGAGAGGGGGAACAGGTGGGAAAGGGTAGTTGGGGAGCAAACACATACGTCATCAAAGCAACGGCGATACTCAACATAACCAGCGCCAAAGAAGCAATCATTCCCGACACCGCAGCGCCCACGCGTCCCAAACAAGCCAAGAAGCCCGAGAAGAAAGCCAAAGTCTCGAAGAGGAGCGCAAGCAGGAAGAAGACCCAGCCGAAACGCCACATGTACCAGAAGTAATGGCTGGTCGTATGTCCGCCATACTTGCCCGTAAGACCAGCGGGCGCACCAGTAGGGTTGCTATCCCAGGCATCACCGAGAGGCAGCGCAGGACGGGCGGGGCCGCAGTCCAGGTTGTTGAGGCCGCACACCTTGAAGTAGGTCCATTGTGAGACGTCGCGGGCGCCGCTGATGCCGCTGGTGTCGGCGCGGAGGAAGTAGGTCTGTCGAAGGGGCGAGGTCCGCGTGATGCCGGAGAGGATGACAAACCATAGGAGGATGAGGGAGATGGCGATGAAGAAGAGGGAGAGTAGGGCGAGGAGGGGGCCTGTGTTTTGGTGGGGGAAGACCGGTTAGTTACCTGTTGGGGAGGGGATCATGTGGTTGAAGATGGTAAGCGGGACGGCAAGTAGTATCAACTTACGAGTTTTGTTCATCTTGATGAACTGTTGTCTGTAAAGACTTCTAGGTTGATAATAATGGTTGTAACAGGAAGAGTAGGGTGTTATTAGGTTTAAAGGTTAGGAATGCTGTTATAGTCACGGTGTACCGTAAGTGTTAGTCAAGATATCGGTGAGAGGGACGGCAGGATCAAAGAAAAGTGGAAGAGGGGCCCGGATCGGATCGACTTACGTCGTCGATGCAGTGCACCTACTTGTACCGCCTTATGTACTGACCCAAGACAAGTGATGAAAGCAACCGCGGTTTAGATAGGTTTCAGTTGTGGCTGAAAGAAATGCGTTGGATAGGTATGTTCGCTGGGTATCCGAAGGGACGGGGAGAGTATAAGTAAGTGGGAAAATGATAACAGATCAAGGTGGTTCTACCACCCAACGACTTATCACGATGAACGGCTCTGGGGTATCACAGTGTATTACTTCCGTTCTGGATGGAATAAGGGTCAAGTTCAAAGACATCAAAATATAGAGCTGGAAATTAGTGCGGCTGGAGGGTTTTATGTGGGAATGTTGAAGGGATGGATGGGACTGTGGCAGATCAGGAAAGGGTCTTCCAACCTCAGATCAAGACATTCGGGGTAGCACCCGAACCGACGTACGTACAGAATCCAATCCCTTGGTCTCATTGACTTCCCATCAAGCTGAGCCTACCTCTACCCTACCCACTGATCATCATATGAACGGGTCAGAATGAAGGCTTTGTGGTTGTCGAACTTTTGAGAGTGACAATCATCACGTCTGCTTGGTGGGGACAACGGACGATGCATGACGCAGCGCCCAGAGCTCATGGCAGATGCCGACCATCAAATGCTGTTTGCGGGAACCCGCTCCTGCAGTGCAGTCCCGCCGCAGTGCACACTGCACCAGGGCAGTGCAGGCCTTCAAGCACCCCCTGCCCTGCGGCAGCGACCTGGCTGGACGTCACTGCGACCCGTCTTCCTAAAAGAGAAAGTAAATGGCCCCACTTATCCCTTTTATAATGCCCATTGCTCCACATAGCCCGTACACAGAGAGCATTGACCACCTCATCTTTCCGTCATGGACTGGACCTTTTCTCTCCTGCGCCGCCGACGTCATCCTCTCTTCCTCCCTCCATCTTTCCATTAAGTCATGCCTCGCATCCGAATCGGCGACAGCGTCCGGAATGGGGTACCACGCCAAGTAGTGTAGTAATGTTGGACAATTACTATCAAACTCCGAATGGAAGACTTCATATGATCTTCATTGGTCTATTCCACTGAACCTTTCTTATCTTTGTTTCTGCCTTTCGCCCAGAAGCTAAGCAGGTGGGTTTGATGAACGGTTACACTTGCCGAAGCCGACGACAAGCTATCTGCCAAGGAAAAAGAAGGAAGTATACGAGACATCCAAGAGATTATTAGGTGATGCCGTATGTGTACACTTGCGGAACAGAACTCGTGACAGTTTCTGGAGTGTCCAGAAGCGTTTTGAATACAGTGTTGGCAGCCTTGTGGGTCAACAAGTTTTCGGTCGTCGAACGAGATGCAAGTGATGTAAGTCAAACTGACACAGATCGCTGCCCTCGTGGTCAGCTTTGGCGAATATTGTGGAACACGGTAAAAATCGTGGTTGTGCAACATGTGTTAGGAGATCTGTCTTGAGAAGTTTGTTTAACTTGTTTCAAAGTCATATTGTGTTTTCGGCCTTGCATCAACGTAACTAACCACGGAGATCACTGTTTATAGTGTACAAGTTTGGGCTTCCCTGAAAGTTATCTATTAAAAATTCCTCTTAGAAGACAGGTATTACGGATATGAAGCTTCGGATACGGAGATGAATAAATCGTCAAGTCAGGTACTCACCTGTAAGTTCTGAATTTCAAGTAAATACATGCCTCTATCCATTAGGCAGCATACCCGAATAAATACACCTGCAATTTGGAAGCACCTCTGGCACGCACGAGGGTGTAAATCGCACATAACTATGCAGCGCACCGCACTGCAAGTAATCAATATCCACCATCCGGAATGTGCTCAGTCTCGACCACATCCTGATATCGCCTCATCTTATCTGAACCACCTGGGTCTCAACCCTCATTGTTCACTCGCACTTCTTCCAGGATTCTAACATCTCATATAATTTCCCACGAGTCATCAGCTTTTCTCTATACATAAAGAGGACGATATATACAGACAACAAAAGGAACTCTTAAGTCATCAAACCTTCTATGCCGGACCACACCACATCAAACTAGCCTAACACCACCAACCACCATCACCACCACCACCATCATCTACTGCTCATACAACGCCCTCAACAGCGTGCTCAACCTCCTTCGCTTCGGGACCGTAGCCCTCCCCTCCTTCCTCACAAACACCGTCCCCTCCTTCCTCTCCCTCAACACCCTTCCAATCGCCATATAATTTTCAACGGCACCAATCATCGGGCCCCTAGCCTCGCTCGGTATCCGTTGCATCTCAGGCCTCGCGCCCCCATACAGCTCAAACGCATCTTCCAAAAGCCGTCTTCTCATCCGCTCAATGACCTCGGGACCCTCGGGGTTCTCCAAGACCATCTTGTGCGTCAACCCTTCCTTCTTGAGCCAGGTGGTAGGCAAGTAAACGCGCCCGATACGAGCGTCGACGACGATGTCGCGAGCGATGTTGACGTACTGCAGCGCGATGCCCATCCGGCACGCGGCGGTCTCGAGCTCGCGCTTCTGAGTGTCCGACATGTCTGGCAGGCAGTGGTAGATGATGAGGGCGATGCAGAGCTCGCCGACGGTGCCGGCGACATAGATAGCGTAGTTCTCAAGGTCCTTGTCGTCGGCGATGGGGTATTGGAGATCCGTAGAGTCGGAAGTACCGTGGAAGGTGAATTGTGAGTCCATCTCGAAACCCTTGATGAGATCGTACAGAGGCTTGGGAGGAAGAATGTGAGTGGGCAGGAGGTGGAGGGCTTGGTAGGCACAGGGAGGGAACGCTGTCTTGATGTAGGCGTCGATTCGCTCCCCTTTTTTCTTGGGGTCCTCGGTGGCGTCCGAGTCCTTGTAGTGCAGATCAAGGAAGTGGTTCAGCTTCGCGGTCCAGGACAAGACCTCGCGGCGGGATTTGGCGTCGTCGACTAGATCATCAGCCAGGCGACAGAAGGAGTACCTGAAATGGTTTGTTAATTCAAGTCCGGAACTTTGATCAGGCTGAATGGGTACTTACAGCAGGATCAGGTCAATGCGGAGTCGACCAGAAAAGAGCGAATTGGCCAGGTAAAAACTCCTGCTCTTCAGGCGCAGTCTCTCGACCGCTTCTCTCAGGCCCTCAATGCGCTCAAGATCGTACCTGGAAGTGTTGATAAGACGGCTTTGAAGAAGCATGTGAGGTGTCGGATACCGGTTGACCTTGGGGAACAGAGTTGGGAAAGCGTAAATGACGGCCAGATATTGATCGAACGCGGCCATACCGCCAACGATGAGCATGTTGGTCACCAGGAAGAACGTGGCTTCTTCAATGTCCAACTTGCCAAACAGACAAAAATCGAGCTTCGTCCCCGATCCGATGGACCAAGTACCCCTGTGCAAGGCAAACTCGTCTACCGCCCAAAGATAGAAGGTGGGTAGGAACATCGGAAGCACCGTCGCGTACCATGGTAGGCTGAGAATGAAGCGCCCAGCGAGGGTCCAGATAGCCAGTAAGAACGGACAAGCCCAAACAAGGATCAAGCCGAGATAGCTTGTTTCCTGATGAACCTGAGCGGCCTTCCATCCCCACACCGACAAGGCTACGAGGACTACCTGGCCGGTAACCTTGGCAACCCTCATCCATGCTGGCGGGTTTTGTTGATTGTTGAGGTGCAACGCGTGCAGCACCGGTTTGTTGAAGAGGATGTACACGAGCGACGTGATGTAAGTCTGTATCACGAAGAAGAACAGCTCTTCAAAGGGGATTCCAAGCAAACGCGGCCCAACAATGGCTTCTGGTGGGTAAGACCATACTTTTTGCTTAATCAAGTAGGCATCCCATGGCAGAGCGGCGGTAAAGGCGACGAAGACGAGGAAGCCTGTTTGAATGAGATGTATCCTGTTGAGAATAGGATAGGCGATAGCGGTGAGAAGTACCGCCACGGGTACCGTGAATTTTAAGTGACTATCATGTATCTCATCAGCAATGATGTTTCCCAGGACTAAAGGGTGGTGGCTTTCAGATCTGGTACTCACACAAAAGCATAGTCGTACATCTTGGGCAGTCTCTATAGCTTGTTGGCGCTATTGTCATATAGAGCCGTGGACGTAGAAGCCTATCTTGTCATGAGAGATGAAGCAAGACCTGTGCATATGAGAAAGAAACCTATGGAGGTTGGCGCTGGGGCGTCGATCTGGCTTTGTCCTACTGTGAAAGGCCCGGATTGCTAAGAGACGCAACCGACACGTCGAATGAGTCCAGAGCAGAGACTCTGATAGAAGAGGATCAGGAGAGAAAAAGGAAGAACTAGGCCACTTCAAATATATGCCAGGGACAATGGAATCGAGAAGAGCATCGAGTCGACGGAGACTTGGGAACGGCCACGTCGACCACGGCAGTTCCAGGATCCGAGACTGTTGGAGCTCCCATGATGTTCAGATCCAGAGGCCGGGAGAAACATCGGAAGTGCGTCCGCTTGCCAAGCATTGGAATAAATGGGGAAGTTGGTAGGCCCGGGAGGGGAAGTACGCCAACGGGCCATCGCGGATAACCAAAAAAGAAAAGAAAAACGATAAGGTAGGCATTCTGATTGCTTCATGCCCGAGAGCCCAACTTAAGCGACAAGTCTGACTCTTTTGCTGGAAGAGTCCCATTCGGTTGTTGCGCTGCCTACACAGTACATCGCGTGCTAAGTAAACACTGCTCTCACTAAGCAAAGACGTGCACTTGTGATGTCATGTCCGGTCTACATCTGACAGACAGACAGAAGCAAAGCCTGTCATCCGAACAATGAAAGTACGGTCGGTTCTTCTCCAGAGCGCTTTCTCATGTGCGTGAGCTTGAGATGACAGGACGAGTTCATTACTCAATCCATCTGATCTCTATGGTTGTGCTCGGCTATCGACAGCTCGTGCGGCGATCAGGGAAATTTTGTGCAATCAAAGGACGTCGCATATGTGACGCGCACTATCATGCAGCAGAGACCCAGAAAGTGGTACTGGGCCGGCCGATCCTTGAGTGAGCGTTGGGGTGGGGTGTGATAACTAGTAACTGACGGGCGGTTGAAGCTGGAGATGAGTTTGGTGATGGTGAAAAAAAAAAAAAAAAAAAGGTCCCGGCGTCGATTGAGATGGCAGAGAACCCTGTGATGATCGGGAGCACAGCATCGAACTCTCAGGCACAGACTGCACAGCACAGACAGGCACTCTTTCAGTGGTGGATCTCCCCGGAGACCTTGATGCACAATGCACAGACCCTTGCCGAGACGGCAGCCCCGGAGATCCGTCCGGGGAATTGGCCAATCACAGGAGCCGGAGATGGTCGGCGCAAGTCAGCCAGGGCAATTCAACCGTGTCGACCCAGGCTCGGCAACAGCAACGCAACACCATCGTGGCCCAATCTTACTACACTACGTACTCAGGACGACCGACGCCTTTTCTCGGTCTCATCCAGCCATAATCAGCAACTGTAACTGAAAGGTCCAGAACACTCTTTGAACCCGGAACCCTGGCCCCTGGGACAGGCATCCTGAAACCCCTGTGGCCACCATCGTACCCCTGGATTGTCTCTGTGGTTGCCCCGACTCCGCGTCTTCTCCGTCGTCGTCATCCCGTCTGCCCCATCACAGAAGCGGAAAGGTGATCAGGAACCGTTTTATAGAAAGAGAAGCATGGCTTCCAGAATACGGTGCAACCCTCAACAGCAGCGCCGGGTTTTGGCCGTGGCACTAGCGCAACCCTCAACAGCCACTCCACGCGCTTCTGTGATCGGTTTCAGGGGATCGTGCAAGACTCTTCCAACAACTTACTCACCAGTACCACATCAACTCCGGCTCCTTTCGACTTCGCAGTCATGGCGCCAAATTGAGCCGCCTCAGCCACAGCCCATTCATCCACAGCCCGAGCTCGCCCCTCAGCCCAAGAAGCGCAGTCGTGTATGGAAGATTATCGGCTATGGGTCTCTCCTCCTCTTCGGCGCCGTCTTCGGCCTCGGCTTCAGAGCGATCGTTTCTCCCCCGCCCCCTCTGGTTCCGGGCTCTGAGCTTGACCTCATGGAGACCAAGATCATCCACCGGCAAGCGGAAAACCTAAAAATTGTCCAGGAACTTCAAGCCGACCCAGCTTGGGAGTCATGGGACGCATACGAGACGCTTAGCCCGGAGCACCGGGCACAGCACATCTCGGCCGGCGCAATGGCCGGCTCAAAGGGTATCGGCGGCTACCACCGCGTCTTCTACAACAAGGACTCGGGTGAGTGCGTCAGCGTCATCTTCTTCGGCCCCGCCACCACAGGCTGGCCCGGCGTCGTGCACGGCGGCTGTCTGGCGACTCTCCTCGACGAGAGCTGCGGCCGCGCGGCGTTCAAGAAGTGGGGTGGCCGGTCTGGACTGACGGCGAACTTGAAGCTGAACTACGTGTCGACTACGAACGCTACCAAGTTCTACGTCATTCGTGTCAAACCAAGGAGCGACGACGAGCTGCCGGAGAAGGAGCGCGGCAAAAGCCACTACAAGATCTTCCTGGATGCGTCGATACATGATGCGAAGACGGGCAAGGCAACCGTTGTTGCGGAGGCTTTGTTTGTGGGTGGAAAGGGGAAGAGCGGGAAGGGAGGATTGACGGTTAGCGGATTGGCTGATCAGGGTGAGAATGCTCGTTTCTAAGTAGGAGCGGGAGGTGTCTATCTATGTTTATTTGTCTTGCCCGGTTGCACTGCTTCTCCGGTTTCTCCAGAAGCGTGCTCTTGCCTTGGTTTCGTTTGTACTTCATTAGACATAATTGGAGCGAGCATATAGACCGCTAGACTTCACAGAGAGGTATTGTAATCGAATCCCTGATAACACGAATATACCTATCCAAAGAATAGATAGGGTAATCATCATCAGCCTCGGCTTCAGTCTTATCTCTTTCTCTCTCTCAATAGCTTGGATTTGGATACCCCATGACTTTTCCCGCTTACTCAACCAACCTCTAAATATTGCCCATTCGAGTAAAGTCATAACCCAACTCCTAACTCATCTCACATTCTCGATGGATTCCTCCCATGTACACATCAGGTATCTTCTGACTACCAGAGGCACCCTGCTTCACCCTCAAATGCCTCCAGGGGGAGACTCAAGTCACTCGACCCTCTTTTCGCTGCATCCTGCCTTGCTTCACCGTGTCCGCTTTCATAGAAGAGTCTTTTGTAAGCTTGAGCAGCGAGATGCTCGGAGTGGTTTACGGTACCCCCCAATAGCCAGTTCGTAAACAGCCATGTTGGTCTCCTGGAGACCTTCACAACCGGACATCCAAGCCGAATTCATCCCCAAACTATTCTACCGATTACTTCTAGTGTATAGAATGACCTGCAAGCGACGCCGCAACGTGGCAGGCAGACCTCATGATTGGACAGAACAGCATGGAGATCGAATCCGGGTTGGATGATAAGAAACGGTAACTCTAGTGTAGTTAGTGTATTTTACACAGTGGTTGATTGATAAGCCAGTGATTTTGACTTTGACTGTTCGCCTTGTTTCGTTCTCTTCACTTCCCAATGTCCAATTTCGTGGTAGTCACCGAAACAGTGAATAGGGGTGTTGGTAGAGGACCGGGCCGGACCGGGACCGCCCTTACGGGTTTCCAAACTCACCAGCACTCGTCGTCGGGTTCGTTGGGGGAGCGGGAACTTTGACTCCGGTCTAGCCAAGAAGCCAAGACCTTTTTCCTTGTCCAAGACTCCAAGTTCCAATTTACTCCACGTCCCTCAACCTCCCCAACCCGCAGGATACAGCCAATCACAAGCTACGGACAATTGGCCGTGATTACGATTCATCCACTTGAAGGACTGGGGCAGTCAACGGGCCCTCCAAAAAGATCCAACATCAGGCCATGATGATCTCGCAATTATGTATCAAAGGGACCGGCTCTACACTAGCGGGATATTCTTTCACCGAAAACCTCGAGACCACTCAATATGAGCAAGGGGACTTTGGGGTAACGCCAATCACGGGCCATGGACGATTGTCCGTTATCAGACTGGGTCTTGGGTACGGGCGAGGCCAGTGAAGGTATCAAGCCTTCTACAATGGAAAACATGTTGCTGTTCATGTTGATACCTTGCAAGCCGAGGTTGCTGGAGCCTGGAGAAAGTGAGGGGGTGGGGGGGTCAAAAACAAGAAAGAGACGATAAAGAAAAAAAAGAGCGGTAGAGAGATGGAGCCAAAGATTGAGAATGGACTCCATCATTTCGTTCGCTTCACTTTCAAATGGTCCTTCTACCCATCCTAGCAGCTGGAGCGATATAGCGGATAGAGGCTCTCTCTCTCATCACCCTCACCCATAAAGAGCAGAGGACGGAATTCCGACTTTCTAGTCCCTAGTCCCCGACCTGGGATTGCCGATCAGTTACCTTTGTTAGTAATAAACCGTGGGGATCCATCCGGCCCATTTACGGGATCTTTAACGAGGGCCTTTGCGGGCGGGCTCTGCGAATGGATTTCGCTCGGCTCCGACTCGGCTTCAGGCATCACAAGTCGTACGGGAAGCTTGTATAACAATTCCTGTCGTCTTTGCTTCGACCTTGATGAGAAGGTAGACAATAGCAGCGGCCGAGTGGGTAGAGCGATGACTATGGCAGGTTTGAGATAGAGACAGAGGGGTAAGAGAACGGTTTACTTTACCCACGACCCTGCTCACCTATGTGAATTAGGGGACCTTTTCCCCTGCCATGTCCCTCGACCGACGACGAGGCGATGATGATCCCTCGGTAAGCATTCCCCAGTCTCTTGTAACCTCACGGCGTCACGTACGGTATGTTAAACTGCACAGTATGTAGATACGGCGTAATGTGTGGCTGGGGAGCCCCGTTGCCGAGCCGGGAAAGGCAACGTACATAGTACACGTGTACGTAGCGGCATTAGCTTTTCCAGTTTGCTATGTAACAATAGGGTCCCTTGACATGCTGGATTCGGGGTGAATGGCTCCAAGAGGCCCCACGGGTTGGCGCACGTGCTGATGAGGGAAGTCACACTCAAATAGGGAGATCGGGGAACGAAGAGAAGGGTCTGATTCAACGAGTCTGTTCTGTGACGAGGAATTGGTTGCGGGGGTTCATCGAACCGTGCATTTTGTGATCGATGAGCGTATGCTTGCGAAAAAATGTGGATCAGAGAGCCCTGTGACGACTATGAGGACCGTTGATGGGCCGAGAACGTGATTTCGCAACAAGAGTCGTGAGTAGGAATGCACGTTGTCTATCTTGTCTCTTCTTTGACTGCAGTAAGACCAATGGAAGGCAAAGAGTCTGCTTCCATGGCGGCGGTTTTTCTCGGAGAAACAACGTCAAGAGACAAATGTACACGGCAGGACACTTGCGTGTTATTGGAAATTCCACACCGAATCGTCTTCTCCTGAGACATCTCCTTCTTTCTGTTACAGTAGGTTGATTAGGTTTTGGGTGTGTAGTTTACTTCGAAACCAATGCCTTTGTGCTCCTTCGGAAATTTTCCACAATGAGGAAAATAGTAGAAATCCTCTTCGCCTGACCTTGGAAAACTTTGTCTACAAATCCGAATCAATCAGACCGACATTTCGACTCATTTTCGAGTGGTATGTGTAGTCATAGTATCGGGCTGTTGTTCCTCGTGGTAAGAAAGGGCAAAGCAATTGGATGTATGTTAACGATCCTCGGAAAAAGTAACGTTAGAATACATCACAGAGGCAGACGTTAAATATCATCGGAACGCCATCCCTCACTGCCGCCACCAAATCAGCGAATGACGTTTGAAGCCTCGAATAGTGAATGAACCTCAGCGCGTGATGATGTTGGTCTGTTAACATAAACGGCATATGGGAAACCCATAGGCGGTAGGTTGAGTTGGCCATACTGCAGTGATATTGTTCGTAAACTTTGTTCGGCCGTGTACGCTGTACTTCATATGCGTTTGTAACAGTTGTACAAATGAAGATGCTGGTTGCCGATCTTACATACCAGCCCTGCTCATAGAATAGGCTGAGGATTTCCATTAGGGGAGTGCTGATCTTCTAGACAACGTTCTAATCCAAAAGTGAACTCCGGATACCGAGACACAAGCTCAAGTTGCCGTTTAGGGGACGGAGTGGAGTGATGGATTTGACGCGTCAGCCATTCCAACGGCCCTTCTTGGTATCAAAGTGATTCGAAGTAATCATTTTCTTGCGCTGGCACGCGTTGCGGTGATACGAAACATGTTATACTCGCATGGCTCCTGGCTCCATTCAATGTGAGACATTGCCAGTCCGTTGGGATTCGGGATTGACGTCTAGCAAAAATTGGACCTGGGGACTTGACGACCCTGAATTTCTTCATTTGGATCGTATCTTAAGCTAGGGATAAGGGTCTCAGTTGCCAAGTCGCCCGCGTCGAGAAAATGAATGGATCTGATCTCGAGATCAATGGGCGAATCGGAAGGAAGCACTATGGGCAAGGTCTTTCAGACTGATTAATACCGGCCGAATGGGTCACTGAAGGGATTCAATGATGGGCCCCGGATGATGGACCTCTGCATCACATGAGTACACTGTTTGAAGACGAGAAGAGGTCCTGTCCGAAATGCAAGCGGCGGGGGTTCACATTCAACGAAGCCTCTGAAAGCTTCGCTGCGGTTTCGACAACCGCTTGAGCTACAGTGCCATTCATGTAATAGGTACCATGGCAGTGATCGTTGGCGTACTGCCAACGTAATGCGATTGACTAGTGTAAGATGTCGTAACCACGCCGTTGTTCTTTGTCTGCAAGAGAGCATGTACATGGACGCCCTCGTCCATCGTTTTAACCGGTTTTTGCACTGTTCTTTTCCCGACATGGGTTTGTGGTCAATAAGGTTTTCTGAACACCAAAAAATAATAAACGCTTGAACGAATTCCAGCTACACTACAGTATCTTAGCAGTGCGCTGTAAGCCCACCAGCCAGACGCTCAAGATCCTCAAATGTTTTCAAGGGACAAAAAAAAAAGAAAATGGCGCAATAACCGGGCAAGGAAATGGGGTCATATGTTTGACTGACTCTGAACCATTTAGTTGAAAAGCACATGGAAGCATTGATGAGGACCTCTGAAGCCTAGAAGGACCGTATGAAAGCTCGTTGGTCAGGGTACTGGTAATCACGCCCGAACAATAGCCGAACCCGCGCTCACCTGGTCTACCAAGGAACGCCATGCGTGGATTAATATCTTCAGACGGGCACCGTCACCGTCACTGCCATTGACTCAGGGTCAATAGCCGGCGAGAGATATGACGGAAGGTTCCGGGACCCGTCAATCGGCAATGTTTCCCCGGAATGTCTCTCTTCCGAGCAATGTGTTGCTTTAGTAGGCTTCTAGGAGGCTTTAGAGGCTGCTCGGAAAATCGATAGCTTGGTGGAGATGGACCTTGACGCAGGAGGTTGCACTAGAAACGGAGCAGCATCCGCGGCAGTTAGTTGGAAGAAAAGGAAGGAAATGCAATTACCGAAAGGGCTCCTTCTAGGATAACCTCAGCGAGGCGCTTAGTGGGTGTTGCACCCGCAGCACGTTGTGGGCGTTGCAGGGTCGCGAGTCACAATATCAACCCCAGCAGAAAGGCCGGCGAGAACGAGACATGGCGGAGAGTCTGGATGGTAATTTCCAAAAAGCCATCTTTCCTTCGGTCGCTGTTGCTGGCGAGGTCTTTCGGGGTGGAGCAAGCCCTCACCGACATTGCTTGGTTTTGTGATGTTTTTGTGATGGAAAACATCTACTATCAGTTGGTGGCATGTCCCTTGCTCGGTGCCTCCATACCTCTTCCAACTTGAGCCAACCTACCGCAGGTTCGAGGATGGATTCGACCCAGTCAGGGACTTGAGATACTCCTTGTCAAACTTATGGGTACCTGGGGGTGAGAAAAGAAAAAAAAAGGAAACTTATAGACCTCCGAAGTGCCCATGATTATTACGACGTCCGTCATCTTGTGATCCAAGCTGAGCTTTGGGAGAAGGAAGCTGAAATGGGAGTCTGGAGTTGTCCGCACCGGGCGGGTGGGTGTTAAGGTTACTTTTTAGTCGTAGTGTTGCGGAAAGGTGTGGAGGATTGTCGAGGATTTGGCTGGATCTTGGCAAACAACAGGCCTTCTGCCAGGGACAAAACCTACCTCTGGTTGGGACTGGCCTGCCATTCTTGGCGACCCACCTTCATCAGTCGAATTTTCTTGACTTGGATTATACGTACAGTGCGCCCAACCGATCACGCTGTGCCAAGACATGTCGTTGAGATCGCGCCGTTCCCTGCCCCGCCGCCCCATCTCACCATAGTAGCTCCCTCCAGTTCACGCACACGCAACCACACAGAGCAAGCCATTTCTACTTGTCCTTTCCTAAAACGGACAAAGATGTGATTCTCGTCTCATCCGATCAGAGCCTCAGCAGCCCGGTGCCAGCTTCCTTCCTTCCTTCCTTCCTCCTCCATTCTTGTTAGTCTCTCGCTCCTTCGCACATGTTTCTATTGTACCTTAGCTCTATGTACGGGGCAAATCCAGAGGTATGTACCAAGGGAAGGAAGGACTGCGAGCTAGCAGATAGTAATATTGCCCCTGGACTACTACTGGATGCAGATGCGTCATGGTCTGGGCCGGCAACCGGTTAACGGCCGGGGAAATGACAATGGAATGGCGACACCTTCTGCTTACCTAGGTCTGCCGCCATTGACTTCGATGGATGTCCACACTCCTCCTCCACTGCACACGGATAACCACGACGCTGTGGAAATGGAGTGAACAGGGACCCTGCATCCTGACTTGCAACCGCGGTCCTGGAGGGGAATGGAAACCAATGATGGATTCCCGTCCACCATCGATGCATCTCACGATCCCGCTGTGCTCTTGGGCCCCACACATCGCCATGTCCATCGGAGGAGACTCCTGGGGCCTTCGTCTAATTAACTTCGGTCTAGCTATTCGAGGTACTACAGTAGTACTCCCTCCCTCTCTCTCTCTCTGTATGGCGTAGTATGGCTCGGAAAGGGGCATCGACTGCCGGCGAGAAATCAGCCATGTCATCCATGTCACGATTCGCCCCTCGACCAGATGCTCATCATGTCCTTGTGCCAACTGCTGCCAGGGTCTTTCCTCGCAGGGACTGGACAGACATATCTCTCCAGATACAGATACATCATCGCAGTATGTACCCCATCGTCCGGATGTTGCATACCCTTAGTTCCCGGGACCAGTCCTCGGTCGTCACAAATCCTTCTCGTGCTCCTCCACTCCCCCCATCTCCTCTACTAGTCTCCCCGGCCTACCAGGGTCCTTGCTCAGCTTCATCTTTCCCATCACAATCTACCACACGCCTGCATACGAGTTCTAGCTCCATCACGGCTGTTTGAAGGCATATTTGAGTCGACTATACCCTCCTCCTCGTCAGATGGTCGCGGGTACATCGTCTCGTGCCTCATCATTATCGGCATCCTAACAACATACACTTGCACCCGTTCAGTCTTCATCCCAAGAGCCTGCGAGTCTTCAATTCCATACGTCAAGGCGCATCATAGCACGGCCGGGTTGACCAGACGACCCCAAAATCAACTTGACACAACCATATATCCACTTGACCTTGGTCTAGCTTCATCTGATATCACTTAGCTTACGCTATCCAGCTGGGTTGGGTGAACGTTTCAACATCCCATACGCCAAGACGAAACCCCGATATCTCTAGGGACCCTATCCTTACCTGTTGTCCAATATGGCACAGTCAAAGGTTGTCATTTATGCGATGCGCAGGGAGCTTCGCTTGTCAGACAACCCCATATTCCACCACTTCGCCAATCCAGAGTCGAAACACGGGTTTTCACACCTTCTCCCCGTGTACGTCTTTCCTGCACAACAGATTGACCTCTCCGGCTTTGTTCCAAAGGGGAGTGAAAACCCACATCCTGCCCCCAAAAGCGCCGTTGGAGGGTATGCAAGATGTGGACCATATCGTGCCAAGTTCCTGGCAGAGTCGGTTTGGGATCTCAAGACAAGCCTTCAATCGATTGGCAGTGACCTCCTCGTCCGTGCCGGACCATACAAGGATGTCATCAAGTCTCTGGTCGAAGGGCTCAAAGCAAAGGAATGCCAAGTTGGAGCTGTATGGATGACAAGCCACGAAGGCTCAGAGGAGAAGAGTGACGAGAAGACTGTGGCATCTTTTTGTGCAAAAAGTGGCATAGATTTCAAGCTATGGGATGACGAGAAATACCTTATCCACGAGTAGGTTTTCCACCTGCCCCCATGGTGCATTTTAACGAGGAAAAAGACAAAGATTAAAGAAAGGCCTAAAAAAGATAGATTGACTAATCCTCGAGTTACAGTCGAGATACGGGTATTACACATCTCAACGATCTCCCCGATGTCTTCACCACCTACCGAAAACAAATAGAGCCCTTGCGTGAGAAGGCAAGGAAGACATTGCCAGTACCTGAAAAGGGGGCCTTGCCTGCATATCCCGACATAGACATGATTCCAAGTCAGCAACCACCATTCAATATCCCAGGCACCTGCGAGGAGTTGGTTGACGCCGTCGTCAGGCCGGTGAAGAACTTCCTAGAGGACCTGCCAGACTTTCCGGAGAAGGCAGAATCATCCCACCCGTTCAGAGGCGGAGAGACATCAGCTCATAAGCGAATCGACCATCTCGTCATGAGCGGAGGCATGAAAAGCTACAAGGACTCCAGGAACGGCCTCCTTGGACCGGACTTCAGTACCAAGCTGTCTGCGTACCTCGCACAGGGATGCGTCACCGCTCGCCAGATCCACCACGCTTTGGTGGCCTACGAGGATGGAACGGGCACCAAGTACAAAGGGGCTGATGGTTTTGGTGAAGGTGATAATCAAGGCACAGAGACCGTCAGAATGGAACTCTTATGGCGCGATTACATGAGGTTGTGTCACCAAAAGTATGGTGACAAGCTATTCCGCGTAGAGGGCTTCAACGGCAAGCACACCGATTACGAAGGCGAAGATAAGAAGTATGGGTGGAGAACTGCCAATACGAGCATAGCGTTGCCTGGACAGGAACCTACTCCTGAAAAGGTTTCGGAGATCCTTGCGAGGTTCAACGCCGGAACCACAGGCATGGGACTTATCGATGCGTCGCAACGGGAGCTTATACACACCGGTTACACATCCAACCGGACACGGCAAAATGTTGCTAGCTTTCTCGCCAAGCACTTGGAGATCGACTGGAGATATGGCGCAGAGTGGTATGAGATGCTGCTCGTGGATTACGATGTGTCCTCCAACTGGGCCAACTGGCAATATGTAGCCGGTGTGGGCAACGACCCTCGCGGCGCGGCTCGGATTTTCAACCCAGTCAAGCAGGCATTTGACTACGATAAGGACGGTACCTACGTTCGGACGTGGGTGCCCGAAGTAGCAAAATTCGAGAACCTCGAGAATGTTTTCCAGGCTTGGACAGCCTCCAAAGAGGACCTGAAGACGGCAGGCCTGGAGGGAAACATCATGGTTACGGATCCGGTCAAGCCTATAAAGTTTAACCTTGACCACAAGCCATCCAAGGTCAAGAAACGGCCCTTCTTCAGAAAAAGAGGTACCAAAACTCGAGATGCCCAGGGTAGCGCTGAAAGCCCGGGTAGTAGCGATGGTCATTCTGGCTCTGGCGGCAGTCCCGACGGTTCCGGTGACAGCAACATACCATCCGAGTCTAATTGTGCCGCTGTAGGGTCTGGCCAAGCGCAACAGACTTATCAGGGTAGCGGCAGGTCACAGTCATCAAGCAACCATGGTGGGCGCTCGCACTCACACCAGCACAACCAGCACAACCACCATCACTCCCACCGCGGCAACGATTATACCCGGGGAGGTGGCGGTGGTCGTGGAGGTCGTGGCGGTGGAGGCGGCGGATATTCTGCGTCTCAAGGGTATTACGGCATTGGTGGTGGTTACCGTGGCGGCGGACGGGGCAGAGGCGGAGGAGGAGGATTTCGTGGCCGGTATGCTCCAACTGGGGGATTAGGTGGACATCATCACCATTCCGAGCAACAAGTAGCCTCACAATTCCAGACTGACGCATAGGATCCGTCAGCTGCTACTATGTTTGGTATGTTGCCGAATGTAATGACCACGTACCATTTGGACGGCTACTATTCTTACTTTGCTTCGCCATTTCCTTACCAGCCTGCGTACGCTCACCATCATATGTAGCTGGGCTGGATATCGCGGGTCGGGGTTCCGCGGTGGGTGAGTGGGTGGGTGAGGGGAGGCCGGAGGGCAAAGAGGATCGGGTGGAGGAGCAAGAACGGGAAGAGAAAGGACTCGAAGAGGAAAATGTCAATGAGATGGATTATATCGATGAACGGGCTTTGAAGGTTATATTTGTGTTATATTCGTAAGGAGAATGTGGACTTTGAGCTTTTGGCCGGTGGATGAAGATTCTTCCAATGGGATGTCGAAGCGATGTTTTCGCGACTGATATGGTTTATTTTATATTTGCTTGTATATTCTTAAATCTTTGCTGATTTTCTTGAAATCCAGCTGATCGATATGCGATGTTAGCGCATAAACAAAGAAACCCAATATCAATTCCATACAAATTTAGTCGGCTACAAAGATGGTGCACGTGGATGACAGGAAGGAGCAAGCATCAATTCAATGTCTGAATTTTGTTCATATCCCGTCTCGTTTATCGCTCATCATCAAAACAGTCAATGAATTGAGAAAAATGGAAGTTGCGCCCTGCGGATAGCGGGGCTTAAGTAAGGAAAGGATGCTCTTCAGCTGTGTCGAAGCCAAGAAGATTTTGGACCTTTGAAGTCAACGTACCTCCGTTAGAGAATACAGGTGTAGGTCTAAGGCAATGAACATGCTCATAGTGGGAGCCGTATTAGCAGAGTAAAGTTTGTGAGGCTCTTACGCTCTGTGGAGAGACAGGGAGACTTCGTTGAAGCCCATTTACCCGCAAATCTCATTCAGCATGGAGGATATCTAGCCAGAGTTTGACTGCGCTTACAGTACGGTACAAGCTTTAACCATGCGTTTTTTGATTGGTATTATTCACTATACTTCCGTACCGGCTCCGGAAGGTTGACATACTGCACTTCATATCTGAAATTGTCTGTGTTTGCCGAATCGACAGTCCTGCTACACGGCCGAGTCTGCAAAGTTCAACAAGTCATCCAGCGCCAATGTCTCATACGGTCCAAGCCTCCATCTTAGCCCAACATTTGTGTCCTCTGGTGTCCTCACGGCCGTAGCAACCATGTAATCCGGTCCCATTGATCGCAAACACATATTCACATCCTCCACCTTCTTCCCTCTGAACCGTATCTCGAATTTCCTCAGCACCTGTGCGTCCTCTCCTTCCTCTTCACCCTCCTTCGTCTCAACAGCCGGCACATCCCAAGCTGGCGTCGGCCGACTCGGCCTAAAATACCTAAACTCCAACTCCCCCAACCATTCCGCCAGCAACGCCTCACCCGTCAGTTTCACATACGCCTCCCGGAGCGCCCAAAGCGCATAGAAAGCCCTCAGCTTCCCATCCGCCACTTGCTCCGGCGTCGGCGGCCCTCCTCCTCCTCCTCTCTCTACCAACCCCGGCACAGCGCTCAACACCTGATATTTCAAATAACTCGTCTCCCCCATGGCGAAAACGTCAGCATGCATATCGACAAAGCTGCCCCAGCCTTCCTTTCTAATCAAGTCCTGATCGCGATCCCTGCGTTCGGATGTACACACAACATCCACGCCGACCTCCACCTTGGCCCCCGCCTCCGACTGCGCCCCCGGGCCGGGATAGTCCGCCACAGCCACGAGCGCGACGATTCCAGCCTGGTGCGACACGTTGAAGGCAACTGGCTGTGCACCGGTTGCAGGGTCGCGCCAGATGGGCTTGGTGGTGCGCTCGTCGCGCGTGAACCCGGGCGTGGTGGATGACCAGGCCACGCCTGCCAGGCGCGCGATGGCGTACCGCTTGAGCAGGGCGGAGGCGAGCGCCATTCTGGCGTCGCGGACATGGAAGTATTTGAGCACGGAGGCGCGCTCGGTAGGGGTGAGGAGGGAGAGGGGACGGGATGCCTGGGAATTGAGAGAGTCAGTCAGTGGGTTTTGATGTCATGTTTTGAAAAGTTTGGGTGCGGTTTCGGAATCGCGGCGAACGGGCGAAGGGCGGCGGCGCGCGCGCGAGGATTAATAAGGATGTTTGGTTCAGGGGTTTGTTTACATGGACTTCAAGATCACGGGTCTTAGCAGCTGAGGGAAACCAGGACCGGGTGTCGAGGATCCACTGGATTAAGACGGGGTTGTTTGGTGGTTCTGACATCTTGTTATCGCTCATTTTCGGTATTTTGTGTGTTCGAGTTGCAGGTGGGTTTTGAATTTTGAATTTGTGAGTTACTCTTGAGACGGTTTACTTCGGACAGGATGGGTGGAATTGGTCGCGTGTTTCAGACATCAGCTCATTCTCACCGGTCCGTGACAAATTGAAGCACGAATATGGGATGATTCGGGAGGAACGGGACAAGACAAGTGGGAGCTGAAACAGTGATAATGAGTGAGAAAGTAAGTCGAGCTGACAGAGCTGACAAGCTGGTCCCGGTCGCACAATCATGCAAGTCCGGGAGCCGTGGTTGGAGATCCGGGTCAGGTATCCACACGTGCCCGAACCTGGACTCTCCCGTCACAACTATTTAAAGCAGCCAACTGTCCACCGCAACTTGACCTCTTTCTCTCTTTCTCTCCTCATACCCCCGACTGTTTTCCCTTCGGGGGTATCGTCGCCCGCCTTCCACCAAAGCACATCGACCAAAAGTCATCATGTCTCCCGCCAAATGACTTTTTCCATCATCAACCTCAAAAAGTCGATGCGCCCAGGACGACCACATTATGTTTCCTCAGTTCCGCCAACCGGTACATTTCCAACAATGCGCCAGCTGGTGTTGAGCACCGAGTCGAAACATCAAAAACCAACCCGCGTTCCGCCCAGGGGTTGCGAACAGAGAACCAGTAAGCGGCGAATCCGTTTTGCAAACCCGAAAGCGTTCTGAGCGCTCCGTCGCTCCGCCTAGGGTTTGTGGTTGTCAGAAAGCGACAAAACATGCCCAAAGCGTCGAAAGCGACAATCGTTCCGCCTTATGGGAGGTGTTCCCCGATCCTGGATTTGGCTAGTTTCCGGCCTCTGAGGAAGCCGGGGGCCGGAGTTCTGAATTTTGGCTCGGGATGTAACCACCCGCATCACACCGGCGTCGAGCGATCATTTATCCTGCTCCGGAGGATTTCGAATCATTTTTTTTTTCATGTGCCATGCGATCATTGGAAAACCGGTTTCGGTCCCAAGAAAGCTGGGACTCGGAAGACCATTCGAGACGACTTCCTGCGTCGAGCGGGAAAGGAGGCTTTGCGTCGAACTTGGCCCGGAAGACTCCTGCTGGAAGGTCTTGAGCTCTTACATCCAAGAGTTCGGCTGAGGAGGCAGTTGATAGTTTTTTTTCGCTTTGTGCTAGTTCCGCGGAGTCGGCCAGTTTCCTCCTTCAACCACTCTCCGTCTCCCTGCTGGAAGGCCTGCGGTCTTTTCTCGTCATCTCGACTTGAAATGATCTCCATGCCTCTTGTTTCCGACAACTTGTCTGAGGAGGCGTTGATTCTCCGCCGGAAGTGCGCCTGTCGCAATACAGGAAGGGCCTGAGGCGATGCGAGTCCGCTGGAAGGATATGGTTGTCAAGCCCCCAAGAAGAGGTAGCGGTGACCTGAAGCGAGGATGTTGACGGATTGAGTACCCTTCTTTGAGAAGATTGAAGAGAGTTTGAGACGATTACATCAGCCCCTCATAGCGCCGAGAGTGGGGCAGCCCGTTGAAGCAGCTTGGGAAAGGAACTCTTGTCTGATGCGGAGAAGGGCTTCTGGAAATTGCTGTTGAGGGTTCCCTTGCTGAAAGTCTTTCTTCTCCTCCTCAGCCGGAGCGGAGAGAAATACCAAGCCTGAACCTTTACGATGGTGCGTGGGATTAAGGACAGATAGATATCTGTCTGAACAAATACAGGCTACACCAAGATGGACAGTTCGGGATCTGATAGATCTACTTCAGCCAAAATACATTACTTTCCTTTGTTCAGCTTGTTGATGGTTTCATGTTGTGTGCATGATAATGATGTGATGAAGATGTCTTGTAGTTGGGTGTTGTTGAGTAGGCTGTGGAGAGAAACGGCAGATAGTAAGCGAGATACATATAAGTGATGAACGTAAATGGCATGTAACAGACAGCGGAACTGTTACAAGCCAAATTCACTTCATGAAAGTTCGCGACTGCTTGGCTACTACATCATCAACTCTCTAGTCCCACCTAATTCTCGCTCTGCACACGACAAAACAAACCAATTTCCCAACCCCCAAAAGCCCAAGACTAACAGGAAAAACCCAATACCCTTATCTCCCATACCCTTCATAACCCGCCCCATGAAGCTAAGTCGGCCAGGTAAGTATGTTGGACGAACAACTACGCCCCAGGTGCAACTATACGAAAACTGCCACGCCTTCTTTCATTTGCGAGAACCACTGAGCCATAGGACTACCTACTGGGACCCGTTGTATTGAAGGGGCTAGGTAACAGACCCTACATATACCCGCTGGTCCATGGCGACTGGTGCCTAGGCTAGGTAATCTGAAAAGGTGTTATGTCATTCAATGTCTATCATGGAAAATGCATCGCTGTCTTCAATAACTCGAATCCACACAGATCACACCGCACTCCTAGAGCTTGGAGTCAGTCTTGCCAGGATTCTTCTCCAACCTCACCAACCCTTCCTGCACACACGTAGCCAGCAACATGCCATCCTTGTTATAGATCCTCTGCGTCACCACACCCCTCCCATCACCCGCCCACGGACTCTCCATCTCGCTCAGCATCCACTCGTCCGCCCTGACCTTGGCCGGCTCGTGGAAGTAGATGGAATGATCCAGACTGACCATCATCCCGATCTCGGGCCGGCCCACCATGTCTTTAGGGTCTCCCAAGCCCTCCCACTCGTGCAGCGCGCGCACCCGCTCCTGCACGTCCTCGGGTAGCTGGTCAAAGTCCTCCGGGTGGAAGGGGAACCGCCACAGCTTGTGGATACGGCCGATGGTGCCGATGAAGTACGAGTCGCTCACGTACGCCAGGGCGGTCAGGTGCGCCTGTTGCCCTCCCTCGGCGCTAATCTTGCCCTTTGCCCGGTACCACTGCCGCGTCTTCTTGTCCTGCGGACGGGGGCTGTCGGCGTTGGTGACCTCGATCCGCGCGCTCTGGAAAGGATTGGGCCCGGAGCGGACGAGCTCCGGCTCGCCGTCATAGTCCTCCGGAGGCGGTTGGCACGGCCTGCCCGTCTTCTCGTCGATGGGCATGGACGAGGCGTGCGAGACCTGACTGCCCCGCGGCCCGCTAGAACCCTCCCGGACGAAGGAGATGGTGGTGGTGAAGATGCAGCGGTCCTTTTGGCGCGCTTGAACGGTTCGCGTGGCGAAGGAGCGGCCGTCTCGGACGAGCTCGACGTGGAAGAGGATGGGCAGTTCGGCGGAGCCAGCGAGTAGGAAGTAGCAGTGCATGGAATGGACAAGGAAGTCAGATGGGACGGTCTTTTGGCCGGCTGCGAGACACATGGCGATCACGGCGCCACCGTAGATGCCGCGGGCACCGGGGGGATGCCATGGTTGGCGCGCATTGGTGAAGATATTCTGCGTTTGGAGTCAGTTTACAGTGACGGCAACGATGGATACGTGACATGCAGGGCTGAATGTATTTGAGGGAGACAGATGCATGGGACGTATGCGTTGTGTAAGATGAGATGCCACCATACGAGTCCAGACTTACAGGTCCGATCACGGCCAGTTCTATGACCTCCAAAGTGTTCTCGATAGGCGCCTTGCTCAAGTCCTCGGGCGGCGGCCTAATAAGGGTTGGGCGAGGAGCCTGTTTCGATTCCTCTTCTGACTTTCCCATTGTGTTGAAATCTATAAATGACGAATGGGATGGAAAGGTTGGGCACAATGTGACGCCCAGAGTGTCAAGTGTTTGTCACACGGTAAAGAGATTTAGATGTACTAAGACGATAAAGAGTATGGTAAACACTTGAGGGTGCCAATGAGACCAGGTTTGTTTCTAAACCAATTGGTAGCAAGCCGAGTAAAAGTATAACGGATCGAAGAATATGACCACCACCGGTATAAGTTAAGAAATACAGTATGGATATTTGATTGCAGAATGTTTTGTATCAACAGAAATCATTAGCCAAGGGGAGGCCAGGTCAGCCGTGGTGCAATTCCCATAATTGCCGAGGTACTGCATTGTTGTCTGGGTTGGTCGTGTCGATTGCCGCGAGAATGCCGCGGCCAGGAACGGAGGAAGTGGTGGAAGGGGAGCCAGGGTCTTGGATATGCAACTATAAGAGGACCCCGTTTGGAGACTCTATACTCTGCATATTGGTAAGACTTGGCGATACTCCGAGGTAAGACACAACACGATGCGTACCCCTTTTTGACCGTTGCCAGTTCATCACAACCCCCGTCCCTCGCCGTTATCACCTGTCAATCACAGTTGGGACAACCCCACGATAGCCCACTTATCATTGCTTTCGGGGCTTTGGACTTGGCGGACTCTTTCTTTCTTTCTTTCTTTTTTTTTTTTTTTTTTTTTTTTTTTTTTTTTTCCCTCTCTCTTGCACATTTAGACGGCGGTTATGTTGGAACAGGCAATCGAACCTATGAACGGGCGGCTGTTTCATCAAAGACCACGAGACAAACCACAATGCACGTGCAGCGACGTTCCTTTCCCCGGTATTGCCATCGGAAAAGTGTGTGTGTCTGTGTGGCACTGGAATGATTCCGCCCTTCGCACGAATCCTGCCGCTTGTTGTCGCCGTCCTGCATGGCGTCCGTCCACTAGGCAAGCGAACAACGTCATTTCTTTTTGAGAGCTAGGATTGGCATCGCCGCCATGCTGGTCTTGGTCCTTGTCCTCTTGGAAATATATCCACTCTGCCTCCGCCCATGATATGTAGTGTAAGGTCCCTGGACGTCTATTCTGCAACCGTACCCAAGAGACCCAAGCTCCTTGCTCAATGCTTTGACCCGCAATACGGAGTCTTATAATTAGTGGCATAGTGAAACACGTTGTTGATACCAAGCAGCGTAGCTGTCCTCTGGTCCCTTTTTCCGACGACAATCTCTGGTGGTCTGGACTTCTTGTCACGTTGATGTGTTGCTGTTGCAACTTGCAACTTCAACCAACTATCTTCCCTGTCTATCCTTATCCTCGAGTCCCGTCTGTAGTGCGGGGATAACCTGTGCTAGCGACGCTTCACACTCTCTTTACATTTATTGATTCAGTCCCTCTTCACCTGGTTCCAGACTTGGCAACACCCTTTTTTGTTAATTCACCAAACTCCGATCGCAATGTCGGAGACCGGCGAAAGGTGAGTGCATGTTTGCTTGTGGTTCGGGCGTTGAACCGGCCTGACTGCACCATCATTCAGTTCCAACCCGCATCCTGTTCACCCCACCTGCCCGCATCTTGCTTGCCCTGTTTACGCTACTTCAGTTCCCAAGCTCCTGTCCCGTCGCTTCCCTCCCACTCCCTGGCTTCAGTTTTGACAGCAGACTCAGCAACTACAACGATCGCCAGTTGATCATCTAAGCTTGATTCACTTCAACATCAATTAATACCTATCTTGTTGCAGCCTCCACAAACGATCCAAATCCGCCGCCCGCTCGCTCCTTAGCAGGCGCAAGCCGCCAGTCGACGACGACATGGCCTCCGACGACGGCCGGAGAGCGTCTGGCTCTTATTCTACACCTCAGAACATCCAAATCCCTAGCCAACAGACGCCCAGAGGTCACTCTTCCAGACTGTCTACCACTGGCAGCGCCCTAGGCCGAACGGTCTCGAACCACCAAGCCACACCTTCCGTCGGCGGAGCAAGGTCGCCATCCATGCTTTTTGACAAAGGGGCCGCGGCCTCTCTCGAGTCCTCCGTACGCAAGTTCCGTATCGTTGAAGCTCTTCGCAACGGCGACACAGCCTCGATTTCCAGAGCCATCCGCGATACTGCCGAGCACAACCCTCGCATGAGCATTTCGTCCGCCATTACCGGCCCTCTCGAAGACACCACGATTCTCCATTTGGCTATCCAGTGTGCCGAACAGACTGTTGTCGAGTACGTCTTGTCAGATGGTGCTGGCTCCCTCGATATCAATGCTCGCGACAAAGACGGAAATACCCCTTTGCACATTGCAGCCCAACAGGGACGAACCCACATCGTTCGTCAGCTCCTCGAGCACAAGGATATCAACGATGCGATCGCGAACCATCAAGGGCGGTTACCCATCGATCTCGCTCGCAATCCTGACATTTTTCAGCAACTCCAGCTCGCCAGATCGTTGTTTGCCGAGGACAAGGTTCGGCAGGTGCAGGACCTCATCCTCCATGGCGACTTTAAAACTTTGGAGGAGGTCTTGGAAGAGCCGCGTTTCAAGACCGTCCTCGACATTAACAGCACCGAATTCGCCGCCGAGTCGGCCACGGTCGAGAGCGGCGGCACGCTCCTTCACGAAGCCGCGCGTCGCAGAAACACAAAGTTAATCCAGGTTCTACTGCTGCACGGAGCAGACCCGTTCCGCAGAGATCGTAATGGCAAGCTCCCACAGGATGTTACAAAGGACGAGATTACAAAGGCTATGCTCAAAAAGTCCCCCGCTGCTGTGGCTGCCCAGAGAGGCATTCAAGAGAAGGCCGTTTTGGGATCAGCCACACATGGGGCAGCTGCTGCGGCGTCCGGTGATCCTATGGCGGGAAGAGAAGCTCGCGAGATGAAGGGATATCTGAAGAAGTGGACCAACTATAGAAAGGGATACCAGCTTCGTTGGTTCGTACTGGAGGATGGCGTCTTGAGTTACTACAAGCACCAGGATGACGCAGGTTCTGCCTGCCGTGGTGCTATTAACATGCGCATAGCCAAGCTTCATATGACCCCTGATGAGAAAACCAAGTTTGAAATTATAGGGAAAAACTCGGTCAAGTACACTCTGAAGGCCAATCACGAAGTCGAGGCAAAGCGTTGGTTCTGGGCCCTCAACAACTCCATCCAATGGACCAAGGACCAGGCTAAAGAGGAAGAGAGACAGCGTGTCCGCAATGCCGAACTCTTGAAGCAAGCAAAGGCGGAGCATGCCCATAGCGTATCTGACGCCGGTAGCGACAATGCTAGTTTCGTCGAGCACCGCCGTCAGAGTGTGCAGCTTTCTCGGATGCATTCAACGGCCAGGGCGTCCAGAGCCTCCTATGTCGCCAGTGGCAACGGAAGCAACGAAGAGGATGACTTTGTCGATGCCGGAACCGAAGCGGACAAGGGTGAGCATCACCACGCGGATGACGATGACGATGACTATGGGGAGGGTTCGAGCGGGCAGGATGTTCCATCGGCAAACAAAGATGCTTTCAACATCACTGCACAGTCTGCAAGACTGCAGCTCGACACCATGGCACAAGTCACCGCAGCCTTGATGGCGGAAACCAACAAGAACTCCGACCTCAGGTTGTCGGACCCCAAGGCCTCTCAAGCCCTGGCTACCTATGATGCTGCAATCCGCTCTCTTACGGGACTTGTCGGCGACCTCCTGCGCATCTCCAAGGATCGCGACGCGTACTGGCAGTACAGACTTGACCGCGAGAGTGAAATGCGCCAGATGTGGGAGGAAAGCATGGCCCAAGTTGCCAGGGAGCAAGAAGCTTTGGAGGCTCGGGTTGGCGAGGCCGAGGCAAAGAGGAAGATCACCAAGCGTATCCTCAAGGAAGCCCTTGGGTCAGGCATTATCGACGAGGGCCAAGTGAAGGCAACTGCACCAACTGTTGCCGCTGCTGCCGAGGCCACTGATGAGGCCGACGCCGAACAGGCTGATGCCAGACCACAGTCGCCGGTCCAGAGCATTCGCCGTCAAAAGACCATCAGGGATCAGGTGGCAGAGTTGTCTGACTCTGACTCAGATGAGGAAGAGTTCTTTGATGCGGTCGACGCCGGTACCGTCGAAGTTTCCCAGCTTCCCCCTTCGGAACCTGTGGCTTCGCAGAGCGATACCCAGCTTGTCATCTCAGACGGTACAGATATCAGCGACTCATTTAAGGGATACGAAAACGGTATCAGGACAAAGTTGAAGATGGATGCGGACAACAGACCCACTATCTCGCTCTGGGTAAGTTTGGATTACCATTCTGGATATTACACATTGCACTAACGTGAAGTCTAGGGCATCCTCAAATCCATGATTGGCAAGGACATGACCAAGATGACCCTGCCCGTATCCTTCAACGAGCCCACGTCACTCCTCTACCGCTGTGCTGAGGACATGGAGTATGCCGACCTCTTGGATTTAGCCGCTGATCGCGCTGATTCCATTGAGCGTTTGATCTATGTTTCTGCCTTCGCTGCCAGTGAATACGCATCCACCATTGGTCGCGTTGCTAAGCCGTTCAACCCACTTCTTGGTGAGACCTTTGAGTATGTGAGACCGGACAAGAACTACCGCTTCTTCATTGAGCAGGTTAGCCATCACCCGCCCATCGGTGCAGCCTGGGCCGAATCTCCCAAGTGGACCTACTACGGAGAATCGGCAGTCAAGTCCAAATTCTACGGCAAGTCCTTCGATGTCAACCCTCTCGGTACCTGGTTTCTTAAGCTCAGGCCGACTTCCGGTGGCAAGGAGGACTTTTACACCTGGAAGAAGGTCACTTCATCCGTGATTGGCATTATCACCGGTAACCCCGTGGTTGACAATTACGGTGTGATGGAGATCAAAAACTGGACCACCGGCGAGGTTTCTTACGTCGAGTTCAAGCCCAGAGGTTGGACCAAATCGAGTGCCTACCTGATTGGTGGCAAGATCCTCGATGCCAACGGTCAGGTCCGCGTCAGCTTGGGTGGTCGATGGAACTCCAAGTTCTACGCCCGCTTGACACCCGGTTACGAGGCCACCATTGAGGAGAAGTCCGGAAACGAAACGGTCCATCAGGGCAGCATCAATGACCCATCTAAGGCCTTCCTTATCTGGCAGGCTAACCCCCGCCCTACCGGCATTCCCTTCAACCTGACTCCCTTCGTCGTCACCTTTAACCACCTCGACGACAACCTCAAGCCTTGGCTCGCCCCCACGGATTCTCGCTTCCGCCCCGATCAGCGTGCTATGGAAGAGGGCGAGTACGACTTTGCGGCGACGGAAAAGAACAGACTCGAGGAGGCCCAGCGTGCGCGCCGCAAGGCTCGCGAGAGCAAGGGCGAGGAGTTTAAGCCCGCGTGGTTCACCAAGGCGCGGTGCGAGATCACAGGCGAGGAGTACTGGCAATTCAACGGCGAGTACTGGAACAGGCGCGCGAAGGCTGGTCCGAATGGCGACCCCAGTGTTTGGCAGGGTCTGGAGCCCATTTTTCAGGATGCTTAGTATGCTGTTGATGAGTTGGATGGGATGCTTGATCAGGCGTCTCTGAGTCCTGTGAAGAAGAAGAAGAAGAAGAAGAAGGGACGTTGGGCGAGGTGGCGGTCTCGGTCTCTTAGTCGTGTGTTGGAGTAGGGACGGTGGTTTGATACAGTATACGTAAACGGAGGTTTGAGCGTGTGGTATCCTTGAATGTTAACAGAAGGATGAGTTCGGGTGTCCCCTATAACTGGTGTAATGCAGAGACGATCCATTCACGTCTCACATTGAACAGTTGTTGGAAACGAGGCGTGACTTCATTACTTTGTGACAGTAGCTCGTACATAATATCTCTATGCATTACTTTTATGTACGTGTTCTATGTCGTACAGGAACTTTCAAAAGAATCAACTCCTTGAATCTAGTGCTGTCTGCATCTACAACGGGTGTAACTATATAGAAGGACTACAAATAGCACGATTGATCAATCTTGATTTCACCTGGCACCGGATGCTCACTACACTATGGTGTACAGTATATCGCACTGTGCGATAATCGCACAAATTGGCATTTAAACCGCGAAGGCAGACAGTGCCCTGATTACTCAAAACTGTATTGGTAAGGCTTCCGGAACGTGTGTGCACTGGCCATATCATGGAATGTCGCGGCATCAACATTGACTTGTTCAGAACCTTGTCGAAGGACGACTTCACAATTTCACATTGACAACGAATTCCACATACAAGACCAGGTATCGTAGATTTTTGAAATCAATATGTATGGCAGATAAATTTTGGCTTCTCAATCCACCCGCAGCTCTTCATCCCACACGCTGATCGAGCCACAACCATGAAGCATCTCCCCGACCCTTCTCGTACCTCACAAAATAATTCTGTCTCTAATCACAACCAACAGTAACCAAGTGAGCTCAAACACTAAACTCACACAGCAACCACTTACAAACAAACCGCAACTGATTATCTACAATAAAAAGCCATCAATAGCTGCTATTGAAAATGGCCACCGACGTCGCTGTTGAAACCACCATGGTACCTTGTTTCCCTCATCCCACCTCACCTCACCCATTCATCCTCAACTCTAACCCTCCTCCTACACCCTGCAGGGCACCTTCACCCTAGAACTCTACACCAACCACGCCCCCAAAACGTGCAAAAACTTTGCCACTCTCGCCGACCGCGGGTACTACGACTCCACCGTCTTCCACCGAATCATCAAGGACTTTATGATTCAAGGTGGCGACCCCACGGGAACCGGCCGGGGCGGTTCCTCCATCTACGGCGAGAAATTCGAAGACGAGATCCACCCTGGCCTGAAACATACCGGCGCGGGGGTGTTGAGCATGGCGAACGCGGGCCCGAATACCAACGGGAGCCAATTTTTCATCACGCTGGCGCCGACGCCTTGGTTGGATGGGAAGCATACGATTTTCGGACGCGTGAAAAAGGGGATGGGGGTTATCAGAAGGATGGGCATGGTACCGACTGATAAGGAGGATCGGCCGGCGACGGAGGTGAAGATTGTGAAGGCGAGACTGGTGAGGGAGGAGGATATGGAGGCTTGACGTCGACGGGGGGAGTGAGTGAGGGACTGAGATCACGGATGAGAACGGGGGTGAGGAGTTCAAGTGCATGTGGGCCTGGAGAGCTCGCTGAACTACTTTTTAGTCAAAATGAGCTGCCGCATTGTTGCGCCCATTTATAGTAGTTGGGATATACCAAAGGACTCACGATCAACCTCATCTTGTCAGGCAATTTAAATGCATCACACAGCTGTGAAAGACAAGAGAAACGTGTGGCCAGGTAACTCTGATTTCATCCTGGTCTGACTGACGTGCGTTGCCCTATCACGGCAGAAAGCTACTTGTTTGACACATATTGGGTCGGTATGCGACATCTCGATTATCCTCTAAGGGCTCTGTCCGATTTCCAATCCTTGAGCAATGTCTATTTTTGGGACAAGAATAGGGTATAATGTATAAATGCGTGTATAGGTAACGCCCAAACCATTTTTTTTTTTTTGTTTCCTCCCGTGGTTACCAAAAACAGTCCATCGTTAGTCAGTGTAAGAGTCAGTTAGAATCAGGCACCTCCCAGATCTAATGAGGCGGCGAAGACATTCTTCCCGTTGATTCTGTCTCGTGATCCTTTTCTTTCTTGCCTAGTTTCTTCCCCGGAGCATTTAGCTGCGGCTTTGTGCCTAGTCCGATCTTCAGCTTCTTAACAGGCGATGCGCCTTTTGCCGGTGTCGTCTTCTTGGGAACCACCTGAACGGTGGAGTTCTTTACGTCATCGTCATCCACGCTCTGCTCGACGCTCAGCATCGAACTGGTCTTTATCTTGTCCTTTTTAAGGGGCGGCGTCGACTTGGTCTTCAAAATGACTTTCTTTGGTAGAGCCGTCGGCTTGAGCTTCTTCTTCTTAGCACTGATAGGATCAGCTTCATCTCCATCCTCGTCAAATTCATCACCGTCTCGCTTCCTCGGACTAGTTGCCCGGCTCGTTGGTACGGGCGTCCCCTTTTGACTTGCTGGCGGAGTGTTGTCGTTGTTCTGACTTCCACCGTTGCTCCCACCGTTACTAATCTTCTGAGCCGCTGCTCTACTAGCGTTTCGCCCACTGTTGCCAATGCAGGAGCCCATGTGATTATTGAGACGTGTCACCAGAATACAACGCTTGCACTTGGAGCAAGTAGCGCTGGGAAAGCTGAGCACGTTAGGCGGGCGGTCCTTGGCACTTCCCTCCATGGCTGCCACGGCTGCAGGATCGTTGGGGTCCATCTTTTTCTCCATGTCCTTCTTTTTCTTTCCTCGGCCGGGGCCAGGCTGAACCCAAGTCTGTCCATAAATGTCGAAGCCTGGCTTTTCAATATAGGGGTGCCTTTTGCAATAAGTAACGTTTGGATCTGGCTTTTGGGCTCCTTTGCCATCTGTAGGATGAAGCAGACGGGGAAGTTGACACCGTGGACACAAAATCTCCTTTGTAGTCTTTAGCGGATTGCCCTTCAACGTAACGTGTCCGTCCTTGTACAGAGCAGCGTCGGTTTCCACGACAATCTCGGGCCGTGCATCAGGGGTCGATAGATCGGAGTTCTCCATAGCGAGCTTTTCGACTTTGATGGCCGCCGTTCTCATCCGCGCGGTTTTTTCGTCTTGGTGTACCTTGAGGACTAGGTCGTGAAGGATATTGTAAAGCAAATCGTCCACAACGGAGTATGCCTACAGGGAGGACAAGAAAGGGTCAGTACAAGTCTCTGGCTCGATCTTGGTCGATGCAAAAATGCTTACGAGCTTGTCTACACTCCCGACATCTTCAGGGGCAACGACAATACCAGCCTTGCCGGTCCTGTCCCCTTCTGACGACATCTTGACAATGACAGACGCCCTCCCAAATTAGATCGGGACTGATCGACACCCCTGGAACAGCCGATGAGTATTTGGCAGCTGTCGTATGAGATGGTCCTCGCGTGACGTGTGGAAGTAGTAGATTTGTCGCGACTCTCTTCACCCTTCCAGGCTCGGGTGATGCAGGGCAGGCCGAGCCAAAGTTGGAGTTCGACTGGCGTAGCGGGTGGGAGATGCGGTTCGCCGGTAGTTTTCGGTTTTCAGGTGCTGATCGGAACGAGCCTTTGGTCCACGCACGAAGAAGTGGCCTTGAAGCATCCACGGGTCGTTCAACTCGGCTGCAGCAAGCCGAAACCGTCAACTGCACTAAGTGGTGCGTGTTCGTTCTCGAAAGCCTCCAGTGGTGATGGGGGCAGGAAGGCTAAATACCGACTGGGACCGGTATTGTGTGGCAATGTTCAATTGACTAAGCCGCAATATGTTCGGAAGCCGTAAATGAGCCGATATGCCCGTGAGATGGAGTGGTGTTTGGAAGATTGACGATATGTGGGTGGTGACGGAATTTCCTGCCCAAAGCTTGGTTGATGGGAAAAATGTCCATCCACGGCGATGTTCGGCAGGTCGCGGTTTTGTGGTAGTTGTGTCCATGCAGAAGTTGTAGTGGGCTTCAGGCGTGTGAGCACTGGCTGACAGTGGAGCATATGAGTCCATCCAGGCGGCTACAGCCAGCCAAGGGAAGTGGAAGCAAAAGCAGTTTCCATGCTCCCTTCCACCTCGCCGCGGCCCGGGATTGGTCGTGTCTTCGTGCCTGCCGCGGACGCCCTTGGTGGTTGCTTGTGCCGGTACCTGAATTTCAGTGTTATTCCATGTTATCTACTACAACACATCGATACCGCGACTGGGCTTTGTCGGTTCCCTTAGACAGGATATTTGGGCTGCAAGTTAGACTCACATTCATTGGTTACTATGAGTGAGAGAGGTCAGGACTACTGTCTGGCCCGGTACATACAACTCAATGTTGTTGCATGGAAATTGTCTTATAGAAGCCGTCCAAGGTGGGCATATGCCTCGGTTTCCGAATCACCCGACCATCTCATACACATAGGACATCATTGAAAGCCCTCCAAAACCAAGCACGTGCAGTCTTTTTTTCAAGGTATGAACGCGGAGTGCATTCCGCCTCTTCATCCTCCCGTCGTGTGTTGCCATTACATGTGGGGCGACACAAGGTGTTAAAAAAGCCTGGTCTGGATCATTTCCCATCCTTTGTGTGTACACTACTATGTAGTGTAGGTATCGCTGCCGGGTGGGCCAGGGGTACAATGGTGGTGTCCCTGAATGTCTTCTAAAATGCGTCTGCGACATGTGCTGGTGGGCCAGACTTCATGACTGACACGACGGTTATTTACACTCCCCTCGTCGTGACTACGACAACATTGGTCATTTTCTCTTCAGCCTTTCTTTCCCTCTTTATTTTTTTTTAAACCGATCTCTCCCTCATCGTTCTTTGCAAATTCAGCTTTCTCGGTTTCCACTACTTACTTTCAGCATGTCGCGTGGTCAACAACCCTCGATACTGTCATTCTTCCAACCCCGGCAGCAGCAACAACAACCTCAACATGCCCCTCCCCCCCACGACTGCGTGAACGGTGCAGCAACAACGGCAAGCGTGCTTCCGAAAACCCCCGTACCACCACCACCTCCTCCTCCTCCCTCTTCTCTCACCTCGGCTCCACCGCCGCAACAAGTTCCAGCTCGTCCCGGCCTTGGGCCCGTCACGGCTACTCTCCCGGCCAACATCCCCGTTCTCCCATCCCCACCGTCAATCCCCTCTCAAGCCAGCATAGTCGCGGTGGCCGAGCACCACATAGCCGCCCTACGCCGAATCAATTCGCTCCTCCTTCAAGTCGCCTACCCAGACGCCTTCTACGCCAAGGTCCTCGAACCGCTTGCCTCAGGTCTCTTCTCGCGCGTCATCCTCTGGAGCGACGACCCTACTTCCGAGCCCAAAGTCATTGGCGGCATCGTTTGTCGGCTCGAGCCGAACCCTTTCTTAGACCCCAACGGGCAACCGCAGGCTCCCCGAATACAACAAAACCAGCCCGGCCCATCAGCTCCCGCCGACTCCCCTTACCACGCCATATACATTCAATCGCTCGCCCTCCTCTCACCCTACCGATCCCTCGGTCTGGCCGCCGCCGCGCTTGAACACATCATCGCCAGCGCCTCGATTCTGCCCGCTGCGGGCTCTACCATCGACGTGCGAACCATCTACGCTCACGTGTGGACCGAAAACGAGGAAGGACTCCAGTGGTACGGACAGCGAGGGTTCCGGACCGAAGGTCGCGACCCAGTGAGGGGGTATTACTTCAAGTTACGACCGGACACGGCTTGGATTGTGCGTAGAGACATTGGAGAACACGGTAGACAAGCACAAGCACAAGAACCGTTAGGGGCAGCGAACTACGCTTTACCGAAACAAAACCCCAATCACCTCCTCCAACAACAACAACCCACCGGAATGATTATGGCTTCCAGTGGCACAACCGCCACCGCCTCGGCCACAGCCACGGGCGTCCTAGCAGCCGCTGTCAACCTACCCTCTTTGACTACACCACCACCAAAATCCCCGGTAGGACCTCCTCCGAGCTCGTCAACATCAACATCCGCCTCAACACCAGCCTTGGCCCCTCCCTCAACAACAACCACAACAACAACAAGACCACCCCTCAGCCGCCCCTCAACCGGCATGTCGTACCAAAACACGCGACCGGAAACCGAATGGAACGACTTGCCGCCGGAGATGGTCCAGCTCAACGTTCCCGGTAGTGGTTCCGGTGCCGGTGCCAGCGCGACAGCCTCGGGGGCCACTAGTGCGGTTAGCTCGAGGAGTAGTTCGGTGGCGCCGAAGAAGAAGAAGGGGAGGGCATATCCTAGTGCTGCTTTTGGGCAGTAGGGAATGTTGTCTGACCTTGTAGTACCTTCCGTCTTCTGCTGCCGCCCTCTGACTGCTGCAGACAAAGTAATGACAAACGTAACGGAGATGGGATGGGAGAGATATGCTGTTATAGAGGTAATACTATTTTGAAATGGAAAAAAAAAAAAAAAAAAAAAATTATGAAATAAAGGGTAGTGAAATACTGTGGGGCATAATCGGGGTTGGTGAATCCCGGGCTTGAATCAGACAAGAGATTTCCAAGAGGAGCTCCGATGAGATGGGATTCATTGCCTACCTTGATTGGCTATATAGTTCAAAAGAATTGTGGCTCAATTATAGACACGTAGAAAACGTGTTGTTGTATCCCTATAGAAGCAGAAACAACTTAGTTAATGTTGGGAGTAACTTCGTTGGTTATTATGAACCTCTGGAAGTGATGCAAGGATGAGCCAGGATGTCGTTGCTAATACTGGTATGCCTCGTCAGAAGTGGGTGTTTGATTCTGGTAAGGTCGAGGTGTGAACTGAGACGGGCATTGTTTCTTCCAAACAAGAGAAAGATAAAGTGGCCAAAGAAAACCACACCATCGCTTTGCGTCGTGTTAACTATCCAGTTCGTTCCAAGTACATCCCGAGAAAAAAACAACTGTAGTTTGGATTTCCTATGCTCCCACCATTGGCTTGAGCAGCATCTGAGGACTCGAATCAAAGCCGTTGTTTAGAGTTGGCTACGGTTGCGAAATGCCATCATTGATAAAGGGATAACGCAAAACTGAGAGGAGGAACAACTGGTATTTCAAAATTCACAACTTCGCTGGTTAATGGTCTTTTTGTTATACAGTAGATAACATCTCTCCGTTCCAATCCGGCTACCATTTCATGATAAAAGAGAAAAAGAATATAAATTCAAAGCCCATCCATGCCTTGGGGGTTTCCCTAATGCGATAAACCCTAACCCAGTGACGCCTGCCCAATCAATCATACCAAAGGAAGAACATTGAAATATTTATGTGAACCTCATATCCCTTTCCAGGTTCCTCGTCCCATTGTCGTTCATCCTTACACAGCACACAAATGTTGCTCTTCGCTTAACACATTTTTTTCATGTCAACCTTCACTCCCAAACTCCTTTCCTGCGCTAAGCCATGTTCACATAACAATGCACCTCTTTCTGCGACATGTCAGTGATGTCATGCCTGGCAATGGACAAGCTGCCTTTGTGGACTCCTATTCCCCGGCGGCAAGCTCGCTATCCTCAGGCACAGCTGTCAAGTCGGTCTTCTTGGCGTTGAGACGCAGGTCGCTGATGAAGTCGGCTGTGGAAGTGCTCTTCTCCATGCGGGCAGCAACGAGAGCAATCAACGCGGCACCAACACCAGATCCATCCTTGGCAATACCAATACGGATCCGCTTGGCACCCTCCTCACCAATGCCTTTAATGGCACGGAGAGCCTCGTAGATCATGTCACGGAAGTAGGGATAGTGCTCGACCAAGCTTCCGTCAACACCAATGTCGATAGGCTCGTCCTGCTCGGGGTCGTTGAGTTTGCCGGTCTGCAAAACAATGGCAGCAATAGCAACAGCCGAAAGACGAGCAGCACGACGACCGATAGCACCAGCAATGGCCTTGAAAGCCTGAGCGTCCTCCAAAGAGGGGGCATAAATGTGGAGGTTGGCCTCGAGCTCCTGGCGGAGGATCGACAACTCGGGGGTACTGTCAGCGGCAGCGACAGAGAGGACCGAGGTATCAAGACCCCACTGCTTGTAGATGGGGGAGTGTTCGGCGATGTTGGTAGTTGACTTCCAGTCATTGTAGCTCGAGTTATCATCCTTGAAGAGAGCAACGTCTGGGTTCTTAAGCAGATCAATGACCGTCAATCGCAAGATCTCGCCGAGGTACATGCCCGAGACACGCTTCTCGTACATCTGAATACCGGGGTTGGGGGTGGCCAGGTCGAGCTGGACATCCCATGGTGTGTTAGGGAGGACCTTGAGCTGGTTGTCGAACGAACCCCACTCAGTGTTGATGACCATCTCTCCGGTAGAGTTATCGTACTCGCCGGCTAGGGGCTTCTTGATGTTGGAAAGCTTCTCGACGTAAGCTCCGTTGGTGCCAGTACCGAAGATAGCACCGAGGATAGCACCGCTCTTGCCAGGGGAAGAGTAGGAACGAGCCATCAAAGTGCCAACAGTGTCGTTGACGAGAGCAGCGACCTTGACGGGGAGATGGAGCTTGTCAATCTCCGTTTGCAGGAGGGCGCAAACGTCCTTTCCAACGGCGTCTGGGATATCGAAACCCTTGGTCCAGCGAATGAGCGTACCCTTATTGATACCCAATTGTTGGACGGGGAAACTGAATGTGAAGCCGAGACGGAAGACGTTCTCGTCCTTGAAGCCCTCGGGGGAGCTCATGGTCATGCGTCTGCGGATATGTGCCTCGAAGTGCTCTCCATGATGTGTCCTGAGGAAGATTTCGACCTGCTTTGCCAAGAAAGCGAACAGCTCCTCAGCGGTCTTGGCAACCATGAGCTCTCTGGGGATAGCGACCTTGGTGTACGTCAGACGAAAGGTGGTGTCGCCGTTGAGCTGGATTGAGCAAACGCGGAAGTTGGTGCCACCGAGATCGACAGCCATGTAAAGACCCTACGATCAGAGGAGGTTAGCCATCGGTGCAGGTACTTGTCAGCAGTGTATAACCAACCTTTTCAGTGCCATTGGGGACGGCGGTGACATATGTGGGAATCTGGCTCATGCTAGCGCCATCCTTCTCGAGACCTTCGGCTGCAATCCTCAATTTGTCAGAGCTTGTTGCGGCATTTGTCTACGGCGATAGGACCACCTACCCATTTGACGAAGGAACTCTACGACGCCCTTATTGACATCTTCGTCCGAATAGTCGAACTGACCGACAACGGTCTTTGTCTGGGTCTCGAGGGCCATAGTGAGCGGGCTCGAGACTGGGGCGGTTGTGGGAAATGGGGGATGAATCTCGCACACTGCGGGTGGTTGTGGCTGGTGTGCTTGTTGCGAGAGGGCCGGGGGAGAAAACGTGGCCTTGGTTGTGAGAGGTGTCAAAGTGGATTGTCGAGATAAGAAGGAAGAATAATGAAGTGCCGAGTCGGGGAGGAGAGCCCGGAGAACCTGGGGAGTTCAGGTTAATATATGCACTGGTAGTGGTGGACGATTTCAGTCCTGTACGATGCGAGTGCTTCTCCGTGGGGAATCCTCCGTGACGGTATGATGTTAGGTGGGATGCTCGTGGAGGGGCATAATCGGTGGGGTACCAGGGGCATTGGATCGAATGCCCGCCCAGTGGAGGTCTGATGGGTACCGCGCGCAGTGGTTCCAGCCAGGTAAATTTTGGATGCAATCCGCGGCATGTCAGGTTTGTGGACGGAGCCGACTTGAACCCAACAAGCAGGAAAGCTGCACTTGTCCTGCTCGGTACGTAACTCCGAAAGTACATAGAGGTAGCAAGTGCCATGCCCACTGTCCTGGGCCGGCCGGGGGCTTTGAAACGGAAATTCCTGGCTGGTCCGCTGCAGGCCCGAGCTTCTCGCTAGGTACTTTAGGTGCAGTCCAAGGCAAAATGCCGGTAAGGAGTATACTTGGAACGGTCCGACTGAAGGAAAGCGCTAGGTAGGTAGGAAAGCAATGAGAGGTACTTACAAAGACGACTGCCAGAAAAACCACTGACGATGAAAGCACACGAATCAGACTGGTGAGGACACCACGGCAACTCTGGGACCATTCGCGTTTCGCTTGCGATTTGCTAACTGCACTTGGCCCGGTGGAACGAAAGCGAGTGAAGACGGCAGCTCTAGGCGAGGGAGGGCTGCCTGGGCTGGAGGGAATATCGGCACCGGCACCCGTCTGCCTCTTTCGGGCCTCTTTTTCATTGATGCGCGATTTGGAGCCGTTGGGGTTGCTTGCCTCTGTGCAATAGTCTAGGCTGCTTTCAAGTCTGGACGGCCCGTGATGATAACGTGAGTCGTCAGCAGAGCCACGAGCCTGAACACCAGCTTTGTGTGCCGCTGCGGGGTCAGGCGCCGTGCTAGAATTTACAGAGCGCCGCCGCCCTGTTACACCGGGCATATCCAGCACGGCGCCGCCTGTGAAGCTGGCGGACGACGCATCGTCGGCTTGCATAGGTAGAGGTAGAGGTACCTCTCGGATGCGGGAAATCATGGTCGTTGATGCGGGGCAGGTCAGCTCAGGGCGCCTTGTGTGATAGGCCCGAGAGGATCGCTTGCGGGGTTATTTTGCGTCTTCAGGGCCGTGGACCTGGTTGAAACGGCCCGGATCTGGGTGGCACTGATCCAATGAGGTCATGAAAGAAGACCCGTTTCTGGGTTCGAAGATTCAAAGAACAACCTCTTCCTAGCAATCGATGTTAATGTTCCTGGACAAATCGGCACGATTGGGGATGCGAGGATGCAGTGACGCACCGCCACTTGAAAGTCCCGCGGCCAAAACATGAGGTTCTCACGAGCTCAGGCCTAGCTGAGCCGCAGAACGAACCTAAAAAAATCAAGGGGTCAAGGATCACTTACACGGGTGAGGCTGTTGACGTCGTAGAGAAGGTAGGTAGATTTTGCTGCCCAGTTTGCATGTGCTGATGCCACTCTGCAGGTTCAGGGTAGGACCGATGTCATGGCACGAGATAGGGAGTCCTGGGTGAGCAGCAGCTGATTATTGAAAAGCCTCCTAGACCCAAGGCCTCGAATATTCCAACGTTCCAATTGGGTCTTTTCAAGGTCTGAACGGTCCCGTGGCTTGGCCGTTCTTTGACAAAGGAGTTTTGGTGATGCGTCTGATTTTTGCAGTACCAGGCTCCCCGATGTGGCGCCTTCCGGTGATGCCTTCCTAAGTAGTGTAGGTCTTGGGTCGTTGTTCCTTTCTTCGGAGTACTGTAGCCCTAACTTTGAAATTTCGCGATAGTACCGTACGTACTCGGGGTCTCGAACACGAACTGGGGCGGCCGAGTGTTGCGACAAGGTACTAAGCGCTGGCTTTGGGCACCGAGATAGACTTCACCGCAACCGTCTGCCACGGTCCCAGATGGCTGGCGGACAAGTTGAAAGAACCGGGAAAATAAAGAACGAGTTGCAAAGCCGTGCCAATACGCAGCCGGGATGCTCACCGCTTCGGAAGTTCAAACCTCTCGACCGGGTCCGTCCCGTATTTGCACACACGCTCCGTGTCCGGGCGAGTTCACAACAACAAAAAGGAGCGGAATGCCGGACGATCCAAGCACGGCGGGTTCGGTGACACTGACAGCGAGCGACGCGATGCCTTGATATAGATGTGGAGATTCTCTGGCTTTCGATGGCACCTACGTAGAGGTATGGCCCAAGGGGTACCTGGTCTCTGTCGTTCCTAGCGTGTGCTTCCCCATGTGGACATGGCCTATACGGGCCGACAACAGTGGAGATGTGGGTGATGTGCGGTGCGCCCTCCCACGTCTCCAGGTCTCTCCCCCAAACAAATCATCCCCCAGAAATTGGGGAAGCTCGGTCAAATTGTGGTCACCCCGCGAACAAAACCTCGGGGAAAAACGTGAGAGTGGTGAATGAGCACACGACGATGGAACTGGGGAGAGCTTTGCGGAAGAACCCGCTCTGGTGCTGTAGCAGATCAAGACGAGATGTGTCACAAACGTCACCTCTCAGAAGAGGCCCTGGATGACTTCTTTCTCCAACTAGCCAAGAAAGGAGGAGAGAGGGGAACGACTCAATTCAGTTCCCACAAAGTCGCACACCGCGCGGGGCAAGGGTAGGACGACCAACCTGGTCGCCGTCGAAGATTTCACCCCGACGCGTGGAACGCCGGATGGGGGCTGACTCCACCGAGACTTGTTACACCGGTACACCCGACGATGGTGACGGCGCCGTCGGGCAGTGATGCGGAGGTTGTATTGGTTTCTTTCTCCGATAGCTCGCTCTGACGGCGGCGGTCCAGGCCTTTGTTCTCGGTAGTTATCACCGTGTCGAACTCGGTGCACGAACTCAGTGTTGAATGCGATACATCACACATAACGGCGGTCGCAGCACATTTGGGTGCCATGGGCGAGAGCCTAGATACTGCGAGGGCTTCTGGGAACTGTCTACGGTCCCCCCTTCCACGCGCAAACATCGACAAGGTAATAGTGAAATAGGTTAAACTATTTTCTTGCAGTCACACATGTGTTACCTCCCGTACATCAACTGTCTTCAATATCCCCAGCCATATTTCCTCGTGGTATATCGTCCTCCAAACCTCACGCTTCTTTATTTCCTGCATTACCCAACACGTTTTGCTGAAACAGAACCTCCCATAGCTGAACATCTGCGCTTGCGGCCTGCGATATTATACCACGATCAGCACCCAATGATCTTTCATTAACTCTTCTTCCAAGTTTCTCCTCAGCTGGCTGTTCCTGATAAAACAGCCACTTTGGTTTAGAGCCGCGGGGGCTTCCATCCCAGCTAATATACAATTTGCGTGAGGACTGAGCGTTTCCGAGCGCTTAGTGTCCATGTCTTCACTTCTCGGGCTCATGCCATACAGCCCATTTCTTTGTTCAATCATGATAGCCAAGCTGTATGCCATCTCCGCAGGGTGTGACTTGTGTAAGCCTTTTTTTTTTCTTTTTTTTTTTTTTTTTCTATCAAGCACACTCAGCGATACTTCAGCCGCCCGTCGTCCTGAAAGTCTTTTCATCTTACCTCCAATACACCCGTTAATCGCCGAGTATTCCTTGATGCACTCGTCAAGGGGCGTCGTCTTCGTGTTCGTCAAGTTGTGAGCGACCCCGTCGCCGACATAATCTATTCCACACGTATGGTGTAATCTAGGGCCATTCTTCGTAGAATACATTATCTCGCCCGCGCCTAGTCAGTTGATGGGTGTTGTTGGGGTGGTTGAGGTTGCTGTTGCCGTTGCGAATGTCATTGTGGATGATGTACTTGATGAGGCGGTCCTGGGAGTTTTGTCAGTGCAGGTAACTCGATGGTTGGGTAAATGAAGGTGAGGTTTGCTTGCGCTCCGGCACTGTCGCTGTCGCTCTTGGTCCCAACGCCAACTCCCACTCCTACGCCTATCGCAATCCCCACGAGAAATAGGCCTTCGCCGGCGAATAAAATGAGAAAAAAAAGGTTCCGTTTGATGCCGCAGATCCTCTCGTTTCTCTTGTTTGCGGGGCCCCGTAGAACGTCCGGCCTGCGATGGTGGATAGCCCATCTGCGACCCGCCGTACATTTCCAGCGAGTCCCTATATCAACCCGGTTGAAGATATGCAAACGGGTAGAACAACGGTTGGTATTCAGGCGGCGCTGGTGACGGTGAAGGTGAGTGGTGATGCCCGTAGGACACGGCTGTTACGCCGATGGGCGACTTCTCGGTATAAGTTATTAAAGGTATTACTTCAGGTCGCCATTTCCGGAACAACCTCCGGGGGGTGCGTCTTCCCCGAACTGTCGGTTACCTGCCGGTTTGCCCACAACTTATAGACCATCCACCCCGATGCCGCTCCGGTAAGTAAAATGATTGTCGGATACGCCTCTGCGGAGGATCGATCCGGCATTTTTGTGTCTCCGAAATTCACGGTCAACACCACGTAGATGAGTTTGTCGCATCAGGATGGTGTTGGTCAGATGCATACTTCTTCGGCGAACTCAAAAAGATCGACCCAGCAGCCTTCTCGGTGGATCTGGCACCGTTGCACATATACGCCGGGCGCTACATATCCACGTCGTCTACGCGCCACCAGGGGTAGAAAGCTGACTATATCAGGAGTCGTTGTGTAATCTTCCACCGTCTTGGTTCACTAGATACAACTGGAGTCGTAGTCAGCACCAACCCGATTCTGGCAGACATGGGCCGATTCCAGGGCAATTTCTAGGCACCCGCATTTCGCCCACTGGTAGCGCTTACGATAGATAACTCAAAAGTTAGAGAATGAAAAGACTTGAGTCCACCGAGATATCGTTCTCGCCGTGTTTGAGTTGCAGATTGTTCACCGTAGGTGATGCCAGGTTGTGATTGAACTTTATATGGAATCACGCCAGCCCGCGCTTGCGGAAGGTGAAGATAACATGTTTTGAGTGGGCAGAGAAAATTCAGGTCATTAGGCACAGTTGTACCTGGTCCTCTGTAGGGCGTATTCGGGTTCATCGTCATAAGACTCGAGCAGCGAAGACATCGAGCCAAGGTACGACGTCCAGATTGAGCTTCTTCCGGGAATGAGGCTTTTCGATAAGGACGTTTGATATGGGGCAGGACCGACGGCCGGCGCCGGCGCTGGAAACACGTGGATCCGATGAACAGTAGTCGAAGGGTTGGGCGGCTGGAGCTGCTCTTGGAGTCAGTAGCATTTGCTACATATATAGTAAAGACGATTTCGAGAAAACGTGACAGAGCACTCAAGCATATCAAGAATGAAGGTGGTTGTGGGCAGGTCAACGCTCCGTATTCTTCTCACGTTGGTTTCTCGGTAGTCTTTATGTCCACACATGACATGGCGAGAGGGGCGCTTCCGCATCTTGGATCAACCGATAGACACCCGCGAACCAACCCGACAGTGCAAGGATCACATCATCCGTCGGAAGCCCGCGGCCGAGACGGTGTTGATGATGTCCCTTTGCTCCTCGAACCAACCCACCAATGTCATTGAACCGGTAGGCAGCTCCATCACAACCAGACAGGGTTGCGGCTGAGCATTGAGCAGGAGTTTGGCAGGCGACGAGAGGAAGTCGCAGCAGCTGTCGTGGAGGGCACTGCCAGAGCTCCTATTGGTGAGACTTGGAGGAGGAAAGCAAGGCTAGGCACAGCCATCATGATGGCAGTTTGCCTTGATACCGCCGACAGCAAATCAATTGTTCGCAACTCTTGAGAGCCGCTTCAACAGCGAAAGTCCTATGAGACTCTTCTGAAGTCCTACCCAGGCTTGACCACTTCAGGTCTAGGTTAGGCACAGCCAAGTGACGCCAGATACTGCGTACCTCTAGTGTACACTACACTACACTCCGGACGTGGGACTGGGGAGAAATTGACCCACAAGTTATCCTCAGATGCGGAGGGGATCGCGCCTTGACATTCAGCTTTGAGTTGCTCGTGACTGTCAATAAAGTTTCTTCTCGAGTCAAAGGAGATGTCCTGAAAATCAGTCGACGTGAAAGTTCCTGGCTGAGGGAATGAAAGGCTCATGAGCAAACAAGAGGGAGACGGGATTTGTTGAACAACCTGAAGGGTGCACGAAAGGGAAAATGGCGTTCCACGTGTTACCTTATCATACCTAATCTTTCACTAGACTAGGCGTGCAGGCGTCGGATGCCCGGTCTTGGCAGCGAGCATCTCTCATTGAAACGCCCATTCCTTCACAGATTCGTTGTCGGGCCCAAAACTCGTGGCAGAAATCCACACCAGAGGTCGTGGTGCCATGGGCCCACTTCGAAGCGAGGAAGGAGCGGCGGTTCTGTCTATAGCGGTCCAAATACCATTAATTGCGGAGCCCTCTGTCCCAAAGAGGAAATTCGAACATCGAGCTGAACTCGAGGCCCGTGCTTTCAGCTGCAAAAAGCCACTTTTTCCTTTACAATTAAAATTGCTCATCAACCGTCGCGTGCATCAAAGTATACAGGGTATCAAAATGACGAGAAAAATAAGGCGGTCATTTTGGTACCGGTTGCATTATAGTGCACGCTCTAGTTGTCGAAAAAAGGCAAAAGAAGATAAAAAGAAGGATTTTGGTTATAATAGCACCTTTAACCCTAATTTTTAGAGAGAGGGTTAGGGTTAAGGTTGAAAATGAAATATCGAAAATTCTGTAAAAGAAAAAAAAAACTTTTAAATTTTTCTATTTAAGGTTTTTTTTTTCTTTTTTCTTTTAACCTTTTAATAATATAAACAAAGAAAAAGATATCCCTTTTCAATAATCTGAATTAGTCACCCAATAAGTTTAGTAGCTTAATGGTTATTATATTGCTCCAACGTTATAGAGGTCGTCTGTTCAATCCAGCTTAGAATTAAATTTTTATTTTATAAAAGAATAAAAAAGTTATTTAAAAATAGAAAGTCAATATAAATATATAAAAAAAATATATATAAATATATAAGTATTAGAATAATAATAGTATCGAATTCTTTTTATTACTTTACTATTTATTAAGTTAAGATAATAGGCGTTTCACTGTCTTCGTTGGCCACATCTAGCTCCGGCCAAGGAATGACTATTTTCACTATGTACAACGGCCTCAACTCACCCCACTCTCATGACACAGTTTTTCGATCACTACGAGTTAGCGACCGTGATTAAGTCGAGATGCCATTCTACATTCTACTTTCCAGTGAAAGTCTAAATAGTGTTTAGAATCAGCGTCGGTATTGGTGTCCCAAGACTCGACTAGAGCAGCTTGACCTCATTCTGACCTCCATCTCAAGCTTTCCCCGCTATCATCCGACATACGGTGGTACCAGAGCATCAAATTGGTAGGTACATAGGTCTAGAGGGAGGGTGGCACTGTGAGAAGAGCAACGAGTACGAGTTCGTCCCATGTATTTCTTTCATCGCAAACCTCAACTGGTATTCCGACTATCTGAATTTTCGCGCGTTAACTCCACATGGATGCTGTTTCAACTCGAGCGTCCAGAGTACGGACAGTAACACAGCAGATTGGGGTTATTCCAGTGTCCTAATGGCGGAGAGTTACGGGAAGCTTCAGGACAGCCCATTGATCTGCTTCAGCTGTCAAATCTTCTACACAGACCTGGGCCTCTATCAAACATCAGCTCATCGTCATGGCACATCTGATTGTCCATCTCCTGCCCCTTGGAGCTCATTTGCTCAAGGTGTTTGGTGTGTGAACCCGTTGACATTGGTTGGCATCAGTCCACTCCAGGCATCTCTCGATTCACAGCCCTCTACAAAATCAACATCAAGATTCCTCTGTGACTGGCGCCAGCTCGTGATCAGGTCTCGATATTTGTTTTAGTATAGAGGTACATTGGCGGGCGCTCAGCCTTACACTCCCACCCAGATCCCTGGTTCATTGCTAGCGCCCAACTGCGGGTTAGGTTGTTTGGAGGAAGGATCCGAAACCCCACAGCTGGGCTGTCTGTCCACTCTTGTCGCTGCCCTGAGAGGTGCCCGACTGCCCTGCCACTGCCCGCCAGCCCACCGCCGCCGCTACCTACCTCTAGGTCGTCCAGCATTGCCCGGGATCCCGGCCTGGACATCCCGCTCCCACCTGCGCGGGCACCCACGACCGCAGTCGCTGCTCCAGGCACAGCAGGTCCTAGCCCAGTGTTTTGAAGTCCTTCCGTCTCACGGCAGCCAACAGAGGGGTTCTTTGACTGGTTCTCATACCCTCCCTTCACACCAAGACTCATTCAATTGATCGTCACCTCCACCTAAATCTACCATTTCGATTCGCATGTTGTCGGTAGGTCGCTGCTTTGTGCATCTTAGACTAGTTGCGAAGGACTCTGTCACTTGGCCAGCTGCACCGAGTTTGTGGTAGATTCGCTGGGTCATCCCTGGCTGGATATCTCTACACTACAAAAGTCACGAACACGGGAGGAGTGCGGATTAGTCGCCCAGACGGAATCGCAGGCAGGCTTAGACAACTTAACCGAAGACAACAACAACACCAACACCGAGCCAAGCGCAGTTGCAGCCCCCCCATCCACAAAGCCACTGCAACCTGACACCCGACCCTGCCTCTTGTGTCCTGATTTCTCACGCCCGCTCGCCGCCATCTGCCTCTGTCTCTCTCGCAGCAGTCAGGTCTTGCTTCCTCCAGTCCCGCGTCCAGTCATTCAGTCGCCCATTCAGCTTTGCGGTCCTCGTTCCCGTCCCCGTCCGTACGGTCCCGTCCCAT